CACTAACACACACACACACACACCACACACACCACCCCCACACCCCCACACCCTCACCCACCACACAACCCTACACACTACACACTACACTACACACACACACTAACAACCTACCACTACCCCTACACACTACACCACACACTAACACACTACACAACACACACACACTACAACCCCACTACACACACACATCTCTACACAAACACAACGACACACACACGAACACACACTACCACACACTACACCACCACACCTACACACACCACTACACACACACTACACACACACTACACCACCCTATACACACACACACACACACACACTACACACACCCTACACCCAACACAACACACACCTACAAACACACACACACACTAGACTACGACACACACTACACAACACACTACCCACACACTACACAACACTACACACCCCCTACACACACACACACACCTACAACACCACCACACTACCCACACACTACACACACACACACTACCCACCCCACTACCCACAACACACTAACCACACACTACCCAACACACACACACTACACAACACCACACACACACTGACTACACCACCCACACACACTACACAACACACACACTGCCACAACACACACAAACTACACTACACACCCACTACCACCACTACACACACACCTAACACACACACACACCTACACACACACTACACTACACTACACACTCTCACACACCACACATAACACACACACAACACACACACACACACAACAAACACAACAACACACAACACCCACACAACACACAACACAAACCCACACACACCACACACACACCATACACACACCACCACACACACACACACACACACACACACACCCACCCCCACACATCACACACACACCCACCACCACCCCCACACCCACACCCCCCCACACCACACCCACACCCACCACCCACACCCCCACCCACACCCACACACACACTCCACAAACACACACCAACTCACCACGCACACACACACAACACACAGCGCACCACACCACACGCTCCACTCGCACACACACACACACACACACTCACAGCACACATAAAAAACACACCACACACACGACACAACGCAGACACACACACACACACACAGCACCCGCACCCACACACACACACACACACACACACACCCACCCTACTCAACACACACACCACACACACACCCACACACACAACCGGCACCACACACCCCGTCACCACACCGTGCACACACCGGCACACACAGGCCGCACACACACCGGTCGATACACACCTGCACAACACACCGTCCAAACCCACACCACACCCCTCACACGCACACCACCCGCACGACACACACCCCACACACCCCCTCACACACACACACACACACACACACACACACACACACACAACTACCACTCCCGCACTCCACCAGCTCACGCAACCCACACCCACACACAACACACACCATTCACACAGACTACTCCACTACACGCACACAGACTCACACACACTCACACACCTCACACACACTCAACACACTCAAAACACTCAGACACACTCATACACCACTCAGACCACACGCATACACAACTCATACACTCTACGTCATACACACTCAGCACACTCATACACACGCAGACCCACGCAGACACACGCATACCAATATAACACTCAGACACACTCAGACAGACATTTCTCATACACACTCATACACACACTCAATACACCCTCATCCACAACACACGCAGACACACGCAGACACACGCAGACACACGCAGACACACGCAGACACACGCAGACACACGCAGACACACGCAGACACACGCAGACACACGCAGACACACGCAGACACACGCAGACACACGCAGACACACGCAGACACACGCCGACACACGCAGACACACGCAGACACACGCAGACACACGCAGACACACGCAGACACACGCAGACACACGCAGACACACGCAGACACACGCAGACACACGTAGACACACGCAGACACACGCAGACACACGCAGACACACGCAGACACACGCAGACACACGCAGACACACGCAGACACACGCAGACACACGCAGACACACGCAGACACACGCAGACACACGCAGACACACGCAGACACACGCAGACACACGCAGACACACGCAGACCCACGCAGACACACGCAGACACACGCAGACACACGCAGACACACGCAGACACACGCAGACACACGCAGACACACGCAGACACACGCAGACACACGCAGACACACGCAGACACACGCAGACACACGCAGACACACGCAGACACACGCAGACACACGCAGACACCCGCAGACACACGCAGACACACGCAGACACACGCAGACACACGCAGACACACGCAGACACACGCAGACACACGCAGACACACGCAGACACACGCAGACACACGCAGACACACGCAGACACACGCAGACACACCCACACACACCCACACACACCCACACACACCCACACACACCCACACACACCCACACACACCCACACACACCCACACACACCCACACACACGCACACACACACACACACACCCTTAAGCGCCTTCACAGGGTTCTAGAGCTCCAGAATTTCAGAATTTCAAGGGTTCGGGGGGGAAACCGATAGCATAACCCCCGACATCTGTAGCATAAAAAAGGGCACCTTCAGCATAAGAAAAAGCACCTTCCAGCATAATGGGGGGGGGGGAGCATAATTAAAAAAGTGGCGGAGCATAAGAAAAAAATCGCCGGGGCAGACCGCATAAGAAAAAGCGGGGGGAGCATAAGAAAAAAATCGCTGCCCATATCATATCCTATGGAATTTCGTATGTTTAATCTTGCTGTTATTTGGGACGTTCCCCCCTATATATACGAACAGTCCTGAATAGGAACCCCAAACCCCTAAACCCTCAACCCCTAAACTCTAAGCCCCTAAACCCTAAACCCCAGAAGCCCTTACTTTTATTCCCATGAACCCCATAAGCCACTAAACCCTAAACCCCAGAAGCCCTTACTGTTATTCCCACTGGTTTCTGTTTCAAGTGCTCCGCTCAGGTTTGGGCAGTCATCCTCGGGGGCTCCCTGATCTTGAGCTTCTTCGCGGGCTACGGCATGTTCGCGCGGCCCTCGGAGATTATTATTATTATTACTATTATTTTTGCTATGACTATGACTATTACTATTACTATTGCTATTACTATTGCTATTGCTATTACTATTGCTATTACCATTACTATTACCATTACTATTACTATTACTGTTACTGTTACTTTTACTGTTACTGTTACTATTACATTACTGCACTATTACGATTACTATTATTATTGCTATTAATTATTATGATTACGATGACGATTTTTATTGTGATTTTTATTCTTGTTCTTATTCTCATCTTACGATGCCAACTATTACAGATATGTATATACATATATTATGTTTGTGTTTGTTTTTGTTCTTTTTTCTTCGGAGGGGATGTGTGGAGGGTTGTTGTTAGGGTTTAGGTTCAGTTCCCGCCCAAGAACAACAAAGGTTTCGAGGACTTTTCGGGCTGCAGGGTCGAAGGAGGGTTTGGGGCTCAGGGGATTCCTGGAGGACGTTTGGGACCAAATGGGTTTAGGGTTTAGGGTTTAGGGTTTAGGGTTTAGCAGGTTTAGCAGGTTTAGCAGGTTTAGCAGGTTTAGCAGGTTTAGCAGGTTTATGGTTCATATGCCTTAGTAGGGATTGCCGTCGAGGCTTAACAAACATGTGGTAGGCCCGGGCACACGCTGTTCCCTCAGTCTGGATACTGTGGGATTCATGCCGCCACCTGAATATATTGGACCTTCCCAAGCAACCCCAACAGTTACGAGCGGAATCGACCGGAACAAGGGTTTGCTCAGAGCAAAGCATTTGAAAATCCCTACACCCCTAAACGCAGATATATATATATATTATAGAGAGAGAGAGTAGCCTTTACACCCTAAGAAAGGGAAAGTGTACCATAATCATTGGGCTATTTTTTGAAGTACAGTGCCACACTGGGAAAACCCTATATAAGCCCCAAACGCCAAACACCGTGGCTAGATACAAGCCCGCCGTTAAACTGTACGAAGCCCAGACCCGACTGCAGGAGATGTTTCTGCACTCCCCGGCCATCCGCCACCTGCACATGGTCAGGCCCCTAACATTTTTGCCCCTTGTTCGGGGCTTCGGATGGTTGAGGGTACCCCCAATCCATGCGCGGCTGTACTATGAAAGAAGGGCTCCACAAGAAACCAGAGCAAAAGAGAACGGCCACTACAAGCCCCTCCCGACCCTCTCTAATCTGTTGCCCTTTTTCCGTTTGCCTTAAATATAAAGTCTGCTTTCTAGAAGTGAGCAGAAAACCCACAGCCCCAAACACTGTGGCTTCAAAGAAGTGTTTGAGAGAACATTGTGAGCTGTGCGGCAACCGTTAGGCAACCGTTGTGCTAGGGTTTAGGGTCGAGGAGGTTAGTTAAGGGTGAAGGGGGGTTTCGAGTCTGGGCTCAAAAAGGGGGAGGGTTAAGGTGGTTTAGGATTCCGAGACTTTAGGGGGCCAGGTGAGGCTAGTTGAGTATCTTTGGGCTTCTCTAGCGCGAGTCAGAATCGTCGGATTTACGGGGTTTAGGAATCTTGGTTTGTTTTGTGCGGGTCTTTTTTTGGACTTAAAAGGCTTCTCAAGGCTTAGGGGCTTGGGGGGATCGCTCTTCCTCTGCCATCTGGGGCCCTCCCTGACACGCCTGACTTCCGAGCTTCACCAGATGTGGGAGCCTAAACCCTAAACCCTAAACCCAAACCCCGCAGCCAAGGCTACAGTTCAAGTCTGTGGGCTTGAAGGTGAACCCTATGATACCATGTGGGGGTTACGAAAAAAACGGGGGGGGGGGGGTGGGGGGGCCCCCAATATAGATTCCCAAATAGTAGGATCCCTTCTAGTAAGCAACAAGGTAGCCCCGAATTTCGGACGTCCCCCCCATGTCCCAAAACCCCCAGTTTGCCCCGCGCCTCATTTCCTACAAAGAACTTGCAAGATCTTGCCTCTGAGAGTTCAAAAGCCCTCAAGAGCCACAGCTCCCCCAGGGGTTTCGGGTTTAGGGTTTAGGGTGCAGGGTGCAGCGTTCAGGTTGCAAGGTTCAGGGTTCAGGGTTCAGGGTTTAGGGTTTAGGGTTTAGGGTGCAGGGTTTCGGGTTTAGGGTTTAGGGTTTGGCCTCCGAGGCTCTCCGGTACTACCACACGGCTGGGAAGGCGGAGCTTGGGCTTGTGCCTAGAGTAACTTTACCCTTAGAAAAAAACGGGTTTAGGGTTTAGGGTTTAGGGAAGTGCAGCTTCGGCGTATGTAGCCTCTTTGGAAGGTACAAGGTTGCTCCAGGTAGGGCTTCTGGGGCGAGACCTAAACCCTAAACCCTAAACCCTAAACCCTAAACCCTAAACCCTAACCCTAAACCCTAAACCCTAAACCCTAAACCCTAAACCCTGGGGTTTAGGGGATTCGGGTGCGTAAGCCTTGGTGCAGTCTCTATGCCACCAGCGCAGCTTATCAGGCCCCGAGCCTTGTCTACGTCACCGATGGTGGCGTGCAGGAGATGATTAGGGTTTGGGGTTTAGGGTTTAGGGTTTAGGGTTTAGGGTTTGGGGTTTGGGGTTTAGGGTTTAGGGTTTGGGGTTCCCAAAGCCTAAAAGACAGTAATGCCCTTATCGCCCTTGAAGGGATTGTTTTTCATGTTTTGTTGGGGGGTTCTTTAGCAACAAGAGTCATCGTTCTTTCTAGTTCCTCGTTTTTGTTACTACGCGACGAGGGCTGTGAGGCGATCGTAGAGGTGCCAGTGTGAGCATGACGGCATCCTTCAATCCTCCTTAAAATATGCTGATTGGGATGTTCCGTCTTATACTAACAGTGCTGAATAGGGATTCTAGTACCCCCTACTACAAAAAACCCTATCAAGGACTGTTAGCAACATGTGCTTTTTTTTCGGGAGTGCTGGAATAAGTCAAGGCATGAACGGGCCATCTTGGATGTTGGTGAGTTTTACAGGTCAGGTCAGCACGCAGTTTCTCTATAAGGGCTCATACAGATATTTTGCGATTCAAGGTAGCTCATGTTCCGGAATTCCTATCTAAACCCTCAACATATTCTTGGAGGGAGACTTGCAGCATTCCTTTGCCACGTGGTAGCTCCTGCCACGGAGACCGAAGACCAGCCCAAAACCCTAAACCCCAAGCCCTGAGCCCTAAGCCCTAAACCCTACCCCAAATTGTTTCCGAAAGCTGCGCGAGCAGACCCTGCTGCGAGACCTCAAGCTTGCACCTCCATCCGAGATGCTCCCCTCCCACCCATGAGAAAACCAAATGAACCCTAAGTGGGCTTATGGTTCTTATGTACCCTAGCGAGGGAGTTTGAGTGGTACATAGTGGTACAAGGTATATGAAGCCAATTTTCAGGGGTCACCAAGGACAGCTTGAAGCCCGAAGCCTGCGAGTGCTTGATTCGCCTGGGCTTGCAGAGTGTTGTTCTTAGACCTACGATTGAAAGGGTTTAGGGTTAGGGTTTAGGGTTTAGGGTTTAGGGTTTGGGGTTTAGGGTTTAGGGTTTAGGGTTTAGGGTTTAGGGTTTAGGGTTTAGTAGGGTTTAGTCCTAAAGTGCCACATGACTTTGTGGAGTCGAAGCTGGCTTGACTAGGATGCCGGCAGTCCCTGCCTAAGCAACCCTCTCTTGTCCGCAGGTAGTCATAACCAGTGCGTGAAGGGAGACCTACTTGGAGGTTCATGGTACTTATAACCCAATTGTAAGTGTACTTATAACCCACTTATCAGCCCCTTAAGTGCCCTGACATGGTTATGATTGGGCTTTTAGCACAGTGAGTTAATATTGGGATGTCAAGTACCATGAACCTCCAAGTAAGCCAATCGCACTGCAGGATTGCACCGGCGTGTTGCAGTTACTGCGCCGGCGGAGCGCCAAGCACTCAGCATTTTAGGGTTTAGAATGAGCCATGCCTGTGTCAGCCATGAAGGAAAGGGTCGAGGTCAAATGACTGGGGTTTAGGGTTTAGGGTTTAGGGTTTAGGGTTTAGGGTTTAGGGTGTCCCTTCCCCCCCAGATATGTCCTATAGGGCGCCAGAAACTTTAACCCCTGATATTGATCTACGTCCGATTATAAGTGCCAAGCTCAAACCCCCCTGCAGGCTGTATAGACCCTATAGCATATAATCCCCGTAAACCTATAATGACATGATACAAGCTGTGTCAACCCCATTTTAAGCCCCATATAGCATAAGCCCTAGAAACCCCTATACAAGCGAAACCCCCAAACCCTAAAGCCTAAACCCTAACTTTATCCTTGAGACGCGGGTGGCAAAAACACAAACCTGAACCTTCATCCAAAACCAACCTGAAACCTCGAATTCCTAAATCCCGCATCCACTCCACAGGTGGGCAAAGGGGAGGACCACCCCTGCGCACACACACACACACACACACACACACACAAGCCGGGCGGGGGAGGGGGACCGCGGACCATGCTGACATGGGCTCAAAGGCTACACAAGCCCATTGCATCTTGCAAAAGCACAACTTCCCCTTGGTCTGCCATGTCCTTGGTCGCCATGCTGCTCCTGCGCTGCATCTTTGCGCTGCTGCTCCCCATGGCTGCAGCGTTGCGCGAGCAACCATCGGCCTCTCGCACCGGCGAGGCCGGTTTTCAGACGGCCAGCGGGTTGGAGCCGGACTCTGACGAGATTGTGAAGAAGGGTGCCTGGAAGTATGAGGACGCTGAGGCGAACTTTGCCTGGTTGAAGCCTGCCATCAAGGAGTGCTACACCAAGCACACGTGGACCGGCATGGACGGCGGCGCGAACGCGAACTATCAGCTGATGGCCATGTGTATCAAGGAAGAGTGCAACTATATCCCCCTTGGGAATTATTTTTGTTTATATAAAACCCAAGAGGGATACGAACAATACTATTGTTATTAAGGTTCTAAGGGGAGTATAGGCAAGAAGAACTGGTCTGGCCCCAGCCATGCCAGCAACGAAGTCACCATCGAGTCGGTCGAAGCAAGTTGGGGAAGCACCTTTGTTGAGCCTTTCCAAGACTACGCCCACTTGTGGCTGGGCTACAAGGGCCTCAGCATTGGCCTCATTCGCTACGCGAAGTAGCCTCCAGCAGACGCCGTTCTTGCATTCGCCATGCGTCGAAAGTCTTGCTGCGCACGCCTGCCGAGCTACCTCTCAAAGTAGATAAGTTAGCCCAGGGTGTCTGCAAGGAGCTCCGGCATTGCATGTGGGGTCCGGCAAAAATTGGTATGTCTATAAATATAAATATTAAAAAGTAAGAAACAAGCACACACACACAAACAAATATACATATACATATATATATATATATATATATACAAATATACGTAAGATATAAATATAAATATAGCTTGAATTTGTGTGTTGCAATAAAGGCCGGAAACGCACAGGGGCCTTCAGCATCTGGGGTCCTCTTGCTGCGGTTTGCCCAGGCGCAGATTCTCTTGGCCCTCGCAGCATCAGACCCCGACGACGAGCTTTCCGTTCTGAGGCCGGCTTGGAGGTCCAGGATACTTGGGGCTTTCCGAAACTAGGGTTCACTTTTGGGGGGTTCCTATAATGAGGACGATACTATTTTGGGGTATTTCAGGGTACCCCCCCCCCCCCATTTTTGGAAATACCCACATATTTTACCCCAATTCTAGCTGTGCTTACGACCCCCCCAAAGTCCCCCGAGTCCTCTAAGTAGATGATAAGTGCCCTAAACCTAAAACTCCAAACCCCGAACCCGAATTGGACTTATAATTGGGGGTCATAAGTACCCATGAACCTCCAAGTAAGTCTTTGGGTTGGTGAGGCAGTTAGCCGTTACTTCTCCGAGGGAAGCTGGGCTAAACCCTACACTCTGAACTCTAAACCCTAAACCCTAAACCCCAAACCCTAAACCCCGAACAGAATCCTTGCCTGCTTCAGCGCGTGGAAACCCTAAACCCGAAACCCCAACCCAAACCCTAAACCCCAAACCCTAAACCCTAAACCCTAAACCCTAAACCCTAAACCCTAAACCCTAAACCCTAAACCCTAAACCCTAAACCCTAAACCCTAAACCCTTAACTAAACAGTGAACTCAAAGCCTTGTCAGTCCTGTGCAATGCCATGGGTGCTCATTTGGACAGTTCTGGTTCTTTTGCTTGGCTTCGAAAGGGGTGGAGGGTTGAGGGTTTAGGGTTTAGGGCTCAGTTTGTTGGTCTCAGAGATATTGAAATATATTCACATATACATATACATATGTGTGAGTTTACTTGTGTGTTTTTTGGGCAGCCGAACAAGGGACCCCAATTTGAGGAACTGACCGTCGTAGGTTCGCGAGCCTCGCACAGTTCAGTTGAGAGTTCATAGAGGTCCACGCCTCGGCACCCTTTGTCCGGAGATGATTCAGGGCTGCAGATGCCCTAAGCCCTAAACCCTTAAACCCTAAATAAACCCTGAACCTTTCCCCTGAACCCTTAACCCTAAACCCTAACCCTAAACACTAACAGGTTTTTGGGATCGTCCGGATTTTTGGAACAACCCCCCTCCATGGCCCAACTGCAGGGAGACCATGCAGCTGGCTGTGGCCCAAGGCTACGCGCCCACAGCTCAGCGTTGCGTCAGGGTTTAGGGTTTAGGGTTTAGGGTTTAGGGTCAGCCCGAATGTATACAGCTCCCTTGACTCCATTGACAGGGCCCTGAAACCCTGAACCCCCTAAACCATCCTAAACCCAAAACTTAAACCCCTAGACCCTGAACCCTGAACCCTATAAAGCTTTCAGTGCTTTATGTTTCAATCTTTTGGGGGTTCAAAAGCCCTCGTAAGGTGTAGAAACCGAGGTCCTTTTACGATCCCTTGGATCCTCGGCGCGATCCCACCTTTGCCTGCATCTCAGAAGGTGTAGGGTTTTTGGTAGTGGTTGGGATGTTCCCCCTTATACTGGCAGTCCTTGATAGGGATTATAGAACTCGCACATTAAGGCCTGTTAGTAGAAGGGGGCAACATCCCAAGGTAGAGGGTTCAGTGTTTGGATGTACCTCATCGCTGAAGCCTTGGGGGGCGGGGGGGGGGGGGGGGGGGGGGGGGCTTATTTGAGTACACACCCTGAAACTCAGCCACTCGGGCCACGAAGGGCACCGACATTTTTTTTGGAAACCTCGAGTTTTCAGTCGGAACCCCAAACCCTAAACCCTGAACCCTAACCTAATAAACCCTAAACCTTATAAACCCTAACCCTAAACCCTGAACCCTAAACCCTAAACCCTAAACCTTATAAACCCTAACCCTAACCCGAAACACGGAGAGGCTTCCTCGTCCAAATGGGGCATCCTTGGCATGAGACGGAGGCCTCCAGCTAGGTATGTAGGCCCCGTTTGTTTGTAATACTGCTTTCCCCAAGGCCTAAACCCTAAACCACCTTATTGGGTGGAAGGGGGTCATACGTAGGATGTTTTTGTCAGGGGGTCTTCGGGTCCATGTTTTTGTCAGGGGGTCTTCGGGTCCATCCGAGACAAGGTTAAGCTTCAAAGCCGCTTCAATGGCCTTGGGAACATGAGGTCCTGGATGACTTCAAGCTGAACCCGGAGCAGAAACATTTTGCTCCAGCCTCAGCCGGCCTCAACGGTTGCAGTCGCAGCTTCGGTTGTGTCGGAGTTGTGAGTTTTTCTTCCTTTTTTTCCAACCGGGGGGGGGGGGGGGGGGGGAGGTCTTTGACGATATAGGGACACACATACATATGTATATACACGTTTATTGTTGTATGTTTCGATGTATATTTTTAGTCGTTTATTCACCACTAGTAGTTTGCACATTGCATATTGTAGAACAGCATCGTATCTACGTACATATCATGCTTGTTATCTGTTGATTACAACATGGGGGGATGAAGCCCACCGAAACCCACCGAAGTCCCACACCCCAAACGCTCCAAGGAAGTTCGAAAGCCTCAAACCCTATCAACTTAAGGAAAATGAGGCCACCAGGCAGCTCGGGAGCAGCCGAAGCCCTATAGGAGGTTAGGGTTTAGGGTTTTGGGTTTTGGGTTTTGGGTTTTGGGTTTTGGGTACCGGGCTCAAAAAGGGCTTCGGGTGCAGGCTTCCTTCTATCCCCCTTTCTACATCTGCATACCTTCTAAGGGATTATGAAGGGCACCTCATGCCGGAAGTCCCTATGCGATTCGCAGGTCCTGGGCCTCCGCCCCCTGGCCGCACATGCACCCTGCGTGGTGTCCGCCATGTACCTTAAGAACCCAAACCTACTGTTTTTCGGTAGGCTCTTCATATGAAGCCCTTATAGAGATCTTCTGTAACCTACAAGAAGAGTGGGTTGTGGGTTCTTTAGGTAGACATGGAGTACATGGAATTCAACGAATTCTGGCGTTTTCGGGCTTCTGGGGCTTTGGTTAAGGGGTTCTTAGGGGAGTTGTTTGGGGTTTTGCTGTAGGGTCTTGAGCCAGGATCAGCTGGTAATTGTTGGTTGAGAATCGGACGCAGTTTCCGTGTGTGCAAAAGGCTTGTGAGGTTTTGACTGCTACTGCGCAAACTCAACCCAAGTTGTGCCTTCGAAACCTGAACCGCCGGAGCTGCTCACTGAACCGCGTGGACTATAACAAACTCCAAGAAGCTACGAAGACGCAGAGGCTACCCTCCCCAGACACGTGGCACCGAGTATGGCGCAAAGCTTACGGGACGCCCGGCGCTGAGCTTCTCGGAGCTTTCGGAAGGCTACCCAGCAGAAGAGAATCGTGACCCGAATTTCAACCCAGTGGCTTTGAAAGTAGCCACCCTTGCACCCTCGCACCCTGAACCCTATACCCCTAAGCTGCCTGCACCCTTGAACCAAAGCCTCTAAGCCTTGGGTCAAAGCCTCCAAGGCCCAAGACATTAGCGAACTCACGCTCCAAGGGCTCGTAATGTGGTACTGTTTGGCGTGGTATACTATAGTTTACTATCATGCCCTCTAAGAAACCTCAAGAAAAATACACTGGAGCCTTCATGTAGGCTTTCACACCAATATACACCAATGAAGTAGGGGCATGCTGGCTGCAGGTCCCTCCACCCTAAACCCTAAACCCTAAACCCTAAACCCTAAACCCTAAACCCTAAACCCTAAACCCTAAACCCTAAACCCTAACCCCCCCCCCACCCCCAACTTGCTTTTGCGGGCTTCGGGGTCTCTAGATGCGCCCCGTTAACCCTGCACTGCATTGCGTGCTCCTTCGCCGGCACCTTGGAAAGCTCAACGGAACGTAAGTGGATGAAACGCTGAAAGGTCAAAAAGGCCCTTCTCCTTAGACAAAGACATGCTTCCTGTCAAAACGACCCTAAGCCCCAAGCCCTAAAGTCGAAACCCTGACCTCCAACCAACCTCCACGATTCTTGAACCCGACATGGCCATTGCAGAGAATCACACGGATCCAGCTTGCACAGCTTAAGCTACCAGGATGGGCGATTATGCCCTATCATCCCCATAGTCAACCCCATAAAAAGGGCTTTTTGAAGGGGTTCTGGGGTAGAACAACCCATCCTGGCAGCTGAGTGCTTGTGGAGAGTCTAACCCGGGCCTAGCTCGCCCCGCATGTGCCAGCGTGCCCTAAGCCCTTATCAGCTGTAGAAGCCCCAAACCACCCTATAGGCCCTTAAACAAACTCCAAAAAAACCTCCGAAACCCTGAAAAATCTGTATAACCCCAAAACGCCCCAAGCCCCTTCAAAGAACTGAGAACCCAACAAACCCTACGTAACCTCCCCTCCCCCCTGGTAAGCCTTAAAACGGAACCGGATAGACCCGAGTCCTAAAACCTAAGCCCTACACCCTAAACCCTAGAGGCCCTAGACCCTAAACCCTAAATCCTAACCCCAAACCCTAAACCCTAAACCCTAAACCCTAAACCCTAAACCCTAAACCCTAAACCCTAAACCCCCCCCCCACCCGAGCCCTAAACCCTACACCCTACACCCTAAACTCTAGAGGCCCTAGACCCTAAACCCTAGACCCTAAACCCTAAACCCCCCCCCCCCCCCCCAAGCCAAAAAGCTGAAGTTCCTCAATCCAAAGAGGCCTAGTTGTGGTGAAGAACCGGCTGCCGCCCTCCCTGGAAAGCCTTCAGCCCGAGCCGCTGCTGACGGAAGAGGCCTTATTTGTTTTCATTTTTTTGGGGTTTAGGGTTTAGGGTTTAGGGTTTAGGGTTTAGGGTTTAGGGTTTGGGGTTTAGAGTTTGGGGTTTGGGGTTTGGGGTTTGGGGGGGTTAGGGTTATAGGGTTCGGCACAGGTTGCAAGGTAGGGTGTTGGCCTTGAGGTCATCACAAGATTCGCGCCTTTCCACATGAAGCTTGGGATGTTCCCCCCTATACGAACAGCTCCTTAGTGAGTTACAATAGGGGTACAAGAATCCCTGTTAAGGGCTGTTAGTATAAGGGGGAGCATCCCAGCATGAACTCAAACGTTCTAGCTGCCACGGCCAGCGGTCAACACTAGAGTTCCAGCCTGAAGCCACAGACAGCTCCTTGAGCATCACCCTGCTGCAGGAGATTTTCGTGCGCCGCGGGTCGATGAAACCTTTGTCCCCGCGATGGAAGGCCCGGCAGTACAGCGGCGAGGGACATGTGCCGTGAGAATGTGGCGGCTTGTCATTGCATAAATTGCATACCCTAAACCCTAAACCCTAAACCCTATGCACCTCGCAGTCCGCACTTTGAATTCCATCGAATTTAGTGCCTTTGTGCAAGTGCAGCACAGGAGGCTGAGCCTCCGAATGAATTCTCAGAATGCGCACGAATCCCCGAATTCATGCAGAATTTATCCGCATTCCCCCTGCATCCCCCCATCTGGTTTGCCGGCTTTGTCTTGTTTTAGTTAAGCCCAGGTGCCGCAGTATGGTTTCCCGTGCACGCAAGAGCGGACGCGAATGCAAGTTGCCCCAGTGAATTAGTGCATTAGTGTGCATGTGTGCGGCTCCAGTTCTGAGTGACGATGCCACAAAAAAGGGGGACATAGACACGACAACACTCACATCGGGGAAACCCGCTCTCCCCCACTGCGCGGGACGACACGGCGGAAGCCGATGGCGCGGCGCGGGGGGGGAGGGGGGGGCTGGAAAGGCACGCAGTGCCGGGCGGCGCCGTTTCACTCTACATTTCACTCTCTCTCCCCTCCTCCCTCCCTCTCTCCCTCTCTCTGTCATGACGACGGGGTCTAGGACCTACGGCGGGGGGGGGGGGGGGGGGGGGGGGGGGGGGGGGGGGGGGGGGGGGGGACGGTCCCGAAAACTGCTAGAAGTACCTGACTCACCCCCAAAACCCCTAAACATGTCTGGCGCATCACACATGGCCCCCACCCTACGAGTCCGAACAAACCGCCCGCGCCCAGCGACATCTACTTTCGAGCCCGCTAAGCGTAGCAGCATTAAGGCCAGGGTAGAAGCCTCGCCATGGAACACCACCCCGACAGCGCTACCCAGGAGCAGCAGCCGGAGGCCACTTGGATGACGCAGGTCCTGGCGGTGGTGGCTCTGAAGTTGCACCAGTTAGACCTCGCTGAGGCCAACCTGTGGATGTGGGCATTGTTGCTCGTGCTTGTGATGGGAGTGCTTGGGTCTTTGATAGGCATGCGGCTCCGCCGCCCCTCCCCAATGGAGTCGCTAGTGCAGGGACCAAGCCAGGCAGCGCAGGCAGACGCAAGCGGGGTGCCCATGACCCAACTGCAAGACGTGCTGAAGGCGGCGCTGCAGCCGCCGGTGCGCATCCTCACGGAGGTCAAGACGGCTCTGGAGCGGCTGAAAGCACAGAGCGAGGCCGATACGGGAGCCCGCCAGCGGATGGACACCCAGGTTGACAAGCTTGGGCAGGCCTTGACCAAGGTGGAGGGCATGGTGGACGACATGGGGACGGCCCTGCAGGCGGTCCGATCCAAACAAGACATGCTGGATGGCAAGCTTACTGCCAACAGCAACGAGGCAAAGCGCCGCTTTGACGCTGTGGAGAGTCGGCAGACAGAACTGGAGAAGAAGGTGGACTACCAGGCCCGTGCCACACAGGAGCTCATCAAGGAACTCCAGGCATATCAGGCGACGGATCACAAGGCGGCCCAGGACAGTCTGCACTACCTGTGTGGGGCGGCACAGGAAACCCTCAAGCAAGTCCGAGCGGTCGCCGACGCATCGTGGTCCGATGGCGAGTTTCTCAAGGAGATCCAACAATGCCTGGAGGACCTCAAGCCCAAGCAAGGGCCATGGAGGCAGCCGCCGGCGTCGTCGTCGACGGGCAGCCAGGCGGAGGGACCGGCGCCGACGGGACCACCGGTGATCAATCTCCAGGATCAGATCAGCATGCCAATGGGAGGATACGCGACGGTCATCTTCCCTCAGGGCCATGCAATGCCGATCAATGTCGCGGCCTTGGGGAGATTCATGTCGCAAAGATGAGTGCCGACAGCAACAACCAGGGCCGCGGGCAGCGGACCTCGAGTGTGGTGTGAGGGTGCAAGGCCCGAAATGCACGTATGTATAGTGAGAATAGGAGAAGGCGAGAATTTGGGAATTCGTCAGAATTTGGGAATTCGTAAGAATTCGAAACAACAGCATGAGGTGCATCACAACCTGCAATGTTGCGAATTCATTTTGCTTGGAATTTAAGTAGAATTTAGGTGGGCAGGGTCCGGTTCTGTATAGTTTTTAACTGAACCTTGCGACCGAGCATGACTGGTAGGGCCGCATGCTTGCACACCACGCGCCACGAGTTGCTGAGTATGTACCATAGGCAGAACAAGCCCCGCAGGATGGTAAGCGTCCTAGGGGGCCTGCAGCCACGCACGCAAGTGCAGCTAGAAAGGACCTGCTCTCGAAGTGCGTGAAGCCGGGACCTACATGGCATCAGTAAACAGTACCTCCGGTATTGAGCCGCCCCCCCAGCGTACTAATGTGACTTCGCGAAAGCCCAGGTGTGCGCCCGAAACTTCTGATCCGGCTAGGTGTTATGTTAGTGGATCACCCCCTAGGCCCTTTTAAGATCCCCATACCCTGAGCTACTGGCAGGAGTGAGTCTATCAGTACATTACCCCCCCACTCAAAAGATCTAGGGTCCTTTGAACGTATGAGTCCGCGCAAACCTGACCCGAGATAGAGTCCATGGCCAGAGTCGCACAAGTATCAATGGTAGCGCCCGCACTACCTGTGTCATATCCCTCCCGACTTCCCCCAAGCGAGTAGTTAGGCGGGGATGATGCGAATGAGGCTCAGAGCGAGCGCTGCCCGGAAGTGCACAAGCTTAGGGGTCCTGTGCAACCAGCTCAGAGCTACGGGGCCGCCCCCCAATGTATCCCCCACGTACCAGTGAAGTCTCGCCAGGACGGACGTGGGTGAAGCGCCTGCGTTCCTCCCTGAACCAAATGTCTAGGCCCCTGGCGGGGGCGGTAGCGGAAATCATTGAGGGTCGGCTTGGTAGTACTGACGGGGGGGCGAGTAGAGGGGAGTTAGCGGATGGGCGGTGGGCGATAGAACCTTTCTTGTACGGCAACACTCACCACGTTCCCTCGGAAACCAGGGAGGCGGCGCACATGTTGGCAGAAGCTTGGATGGAGGGCATAAGAGCGGGCCGCCCGCCACTGCCTGACAGACACATTCGCAGAATTAAGATGACAGCAAATGCAGAAGAAACAGAGAGAGGAGAGGCAGAGGGTGTGTCGGCTGTGTGCTGTGCTGTGTGCGGTGAGTTGTTGACTTGCGCGAGTTGTAACAGGGATGCATTACAGGCAGACGCCAGCGCGCAGACCGGGGCTACGGGCGCAAGCCCCGCCGCCATGGCCCGGGGTGGGGATGACGGCAAAAGGACCAACTGAAACGGGGAGGGGGGGGGGGGAGTGAGGACCGACACGCGAGTGAGATCTGTACCCCCGCCTGAGCTCGGTAAACTAGGAGTTGTTCGTACGTCATGAATAGGTGCACAGATCATGAGTAGTACAGGGCTAAGATACACAAGGGTTGCACTCTCAGGATGTAGGGTTATTGAAGTTTTCACCCTCCCGCGCTGCCATGGTCGCACACAACCCGCTCTGGCTCAGCAAAACATAGCGGAGGCTGTGGGAGCTGGCGAGTCAACAGATGGGGAAAAGGCGAGGCGTCCGCGGGGTGAGCAGGCGCAGTAGCCCCCTGCATACCGGCATCCAACGCGGGTTCGTTTTCTGCATGGCTGCATCCAACGTAGAACAATGGTTCAGTTGACTGCGTGCTGGCATGGAATGGATTGCATGGAACGCGGCTCTCCTGCGGACTGCGGTCCGCCTGACAGCGCGTTTGCATGGCATGGTCTGCACGGAACTGCATGGGAGGAGTGGAGTAGTGCGCCTGGGGAGGAGGATGGTGGCTGGAATTCAGGAATTTGAGTCAAAATTCAGGAATTCAAGCAGAATTCAAGGATGGCGAGCCCCTGCCGAGGGACCATGTGACTTCGCTGGCAATAAGCTGAGGCCTCGGCTCCAAGGCGCGCCAGACAATGGCGAGATGATGACAGCGGAAGGGCGCGTGAATGACCGGAGACAGCACTGGGCAGACACCTGGGCAAAGGGAAGAGCTAATGACAGGGCGGAGCACAGATGGTGCAGGGGCAAAGAGGATGAATCCCATGGGGGGAGAAATGGCAGAGTAATAGGGGGTTAGCACACTACCTGAACTTTGTATAGGGCTCTGGGGTCAACCATTTCTCTCCTGCCCCGTGCGACCTGAACGCCCACCACCTCAGAAGATGGCGATGTATGGTGTTGAGGAGAAGTACTGACATGTCCTGGGTATGTTTCACTAGCCAATGAGCCTTTCACCAGTTAGCAAACAGTGAGTGTTGAGTAGTATCACCAGCATGCATGTGGCCACATGTGCTGCAGAGCCGATTTGAGACTATTGAACCTGTGTACCTCGCCTGGCTTGTCCGAGTGTGAGCGATTAAACCCTAAACCCTAAACCCTAAACCCTAACCTGCATGGACGCTTGCTACTCCAAGAAGCCCTGAACCGCCTACTGCTCTCTATGCCACGCGAAGGATTCTGGATTGTTGCAGTCCGACCTGGCGGCTTGCTGCTGTCCCTTTAGCTGCAGCGGTTTAGGGTTCCTGGGGGCGGTTTAGGGTTTAGTGTTTAGGGGTTAGGGTGATTCAGACTCAGAGTTTGAGCAGTTTGTGGGTATAAGGCGGTTTGGGGTTTACTTGTCATTTCGCAGTCTGAGCGACTCTCAAGTCTTTGGATGAGAAGTCAGTGTGATTGTTTTCAATGTTAGCAAGAACTGCAAAAACATTGGTTTTTCTTTTTTGAACTTTGGAGAAATCGAGAAAACACTGGAAAGAAGCCAGAGTCGTGAAACTTAGACAATTTTCTTCAGATTCAGCAGCAGATTCATACACAGCAACACTTTTTGTTTTTTTCAGTTCAAATTGCCTTCGCCCGTCTGAAAAGAATTTTTCTCTTGCTTTTGTGAGAGAGAGTTTCGAGAAACCGCCCTAAACCAAAACACAAACAGATCGTTCAGCAAGTAGTCTAGGCCCTTTAGCCCTACTAACCCTAGACCCCAACGCCCAACCTTACAAACCCTAACTAACCACAAACCTACAAACCCAAATCCCTAAGCCCTCAACAGGCAGCGGAAGAAGTTAACATAAACACCGCAGACCATTGCTTGGGGGGGAGCTGCTTGAGGATGTGGCTTTGTATTTTAGACGGGCTGGATGTAACCTGAGGGTAACCAACCCAACTTATAACCTGTGACCTGCAAGATCGGAGGGCTTGAGGGATTAAGGTACAGTAGGTTTTAGGGTTCGAGTACCTGAGAGAGAGAGGGTTTACGGTTTAGGGTTTAGGGTGACTAATTCGCTAGCAGGTGCGGAGGGTTTAAGTGTCAACGAACCTAAGTCCAGCTACTCTAACATGGATATGTAGCAGGCAAATTGATGGCATGGCCATTGCTGATAAGAGAGTTCAAACTCCTTAACAACTTGGTAGCCCGGTGGTGCCCTCATGCCCTTTTTTGGGTTTCTGGAGTCCTTCAAGCAAAGCAAGGTGCAAAACGGGTACCCTTGTTACCCTACGGCGCTACGGTTGCTGCACAAGAAAGCCGAAACCCTAAACTCAGGTACAGTGGGAAGGGAGGCAGTGAACCGGCCACCCTAGAGCCCCCTTAGGATTTATGGCGTATTTTATACAAAAATAGTATTTGTACTATGGTTCTAAGGGGAGCATTAGCCCTGGTGCATCAGGCGACTGCTGCCATGCCAGCTCCTCAGGGCCATGTGGTTGGGGCTGCGGGGGGGGGGGGGGGGGGGGGGGGAGGGAGGGAAGTTGGGTTTAGGGTTTAGGGTTTAGGGTTTAGGGTTTAGGATTTAGGATTTAGGGTGAGTCTCCACTCCTGGGAGTAGGCGCTGTAGCGTTGCAGGGGGGGGGGGGGGGGATGCTTTCGAAATGTTTTGAGGAGCTGACCATGTAGGGTTTGGATGGCGGCTGGGTTGCACCAAGTTCTTTGCACATGCCATAAATGGCAATGGCAAGTTTCAGTTTGCGGTGCCAAGTTAAGGGTTTAGGGTTAGGGTTCCAGGGTTAAGTAAAGATTTCGTGCATGCTGGTGTCGGCACTGTCGGAATGTGCAAGCTTAGACACTCAGCTAATTCATCCATGGAGCGCGGGTGACTCAGCACCCTGGCAAAGGTCCACATGTGCAACGTGGGCCCGACATTCCCGCACGTCTCGAATGCCAACCAATGCCACGATCTGAGCAAAACACTGCTGGACTGGAGGAAGAGGAGCGAGGTTTCAGTTCATGCGAACAAGTAGCTCGAGAAGGGCCTGCACGAACCCAACTCCAACAGGCTCCAAGATCCTCCTACTCGTATGCTCTGCTGATGGAAGACCCTGTTCACACTCGAAGCTTATACACCCTGAACCCTGTACCTGCCGGCGCGTGTTGGCATCACCCCCCCCCCCCCCCCCCCCCCCCCTCCAACAGGTACACACACAACCTTGACTCCTAAACCAAGCTCTCGAGTCCTAAGCCCTAAAGCCCCAAAGCCCCCAACATCTAGAGCCCGACACCTGATATTCGCAATACCATAGCGATGTACATAGACACATATATGTACACACATATATTCATCTACCCCGACCCCTACAGACGCCTGAAGGACCCTAAACCCTAAAAGGCCTCACGCCCGCGCTCTTTAGCGCCCTTTGCCGCCTGGGCTTCCGCCTCTCGGGTGAGGCTGCTCGGGGCTCAGCGCCGGGTGGGGCGGTTTGGGGTTCAGGGTTGGTAGGGTTTAGGGGTTTAGGGTTTAGAGTTTAGGGTTTAGGTGGGAGGGCTGCGGCTGGGGGACAGCTGCTGCTGGATGGGTTATAGGGTTTAGGGGCGAAAATTGGGGTCATATACCCTGTACAGGGTTCATAACTGATCCCCCAGGATGGGCCAGCTCCACGACGGGGGCTTGCACCTAATACACCCGGAAATTCCCACGGAAGACGAGTTCGGCGATGGTTGGTGGAGGTCATGGTTTGGAAGGCTTTCGGTCGAGGGTTTAGGGTTTCAATTGTAAGCACATGCTTCGTTTTGGGGCCTGACTTAAGAGTAAGGCTGCAACCATGCGCGCGCCTTGTAGAAGGCTCTTTCGGTGGGGACAGGTTGAAACTTGGCTGGACTGCCGGCTGCGGGAAAACCAACTACGAAAAGGTGCCAATGTGGAGCATGGTTTTACTGTCGAACCATCATATAGGACCTTGAGTATGAGAAAGTTGGCGGATTGTTGAAATCGAAGCCTAGCCTATAGAGAAACCTAGTAAAAATTGTGCGCGCCCTTGCGCCAGGGATGCGGTCAGTTTTTGTCTGTCTTTTGTTAGAAGGGTCCACAAGCTTTGCTTGAAACCTCAAGAGCCAGTAGCGACGAAGGCTCGAGACTGGATTTAGTTTGCTGACTCTACGGCCAGCGTTCATATGTGGGGCTTGCGGAATAGATACTCATGAGGACTTCGCAAGCTGTGGGGTGAAGGGGAGGGTTTGGTATAGAGATGCTGACAGATGCCACAGTCGAGCAATGTCTCGGCACTCTTCTCGTTGGACAGGTCGACTATGGCCGCCAAGTTTCTTGCCAGGGAATCGTAACCCGGCGCAGACGCCACGAGACGGCCACGTTCTTGATGGTGCAGCTGGATGCGGTGCAAGTTCAAGTGGTTCTGCCGACACCGACTGCAGAAGCTGCAGCCATGGACGGTGGCTCTGCACACTTGCTTCCCATCGGCCTCGGCTGTACCGTTTGGTGCACCGGGCATCCGGGCTGTGATCGCGAAGGGTCCCTATCCCTTTACGCACAGGAGTTGAAGCTTGTGAAGGTGGGCGCCGATGCCAAGCAGATTGCCAACTTGCTTGATGCCCTCGCTGATGGCATCGCTCAAGGAGTGGAGGTGGCAGCAGCCCTATCCTGCTCCGACGAGCGGCTGCAAGAGCTCCTTCGTCTCCGCGCGGACGCCACAGAAGCCACCGCGTACAAGAAGGCACTCCGATTCCAGGCGCTCGTCGTGCAGGCGGGAGGCGAGACCGCCGCGGGTGCACTGCAGGCTGCACCTAGCACGCGCCAGCGGAAGGCACGTGTGACAAAGGCCGAAATGGAGGCGCTGGAAAGAGCTGAGGCGCTGGCGCCGAATCCGCTTCTGGACTCCTGGCAGGAAGAATCACATGTACAGGACATCCGGCCTGTGCTTGGCGAAGCTGAACCATTGTTGGACATCGATCCGAGTCTTCCCAGCGCACGGGGTCCGCAAACAAGGGGTGAGTACTTCCACGGACGCAAATGGCCGCAGGTTCGCTGGTTTCTCAAGCGCCTGGCTGCCTTGCGGGCAGAGGGGCACGAGTTCCGGCATGTGCTCGATGTTGGTGGGGGGCGGGGCGACCTGGCTGTAAACATCGCAGCGCACTTCGCGCACTTGGGCACGCGGGTGACAGTGGTAGACATGAACGGTGCATCGCTGCAAGCTGGACGGGGCGCAGCACAGCGGGCAGGCGTCGATGTGGAGTTCCGCTGCATGGACTTTGCCGAGATTTCTGCCCAGGATGCGCTTCCAGACGTCGATTTCGTGGTGGCTCTCCACGCCTGCGGCGGATTGAGTGACGCGGCCCTCAGCTTCGCCGCCCGCCGCAAGATCCCCTTCATGGTCTGCCCTTGCTGCCACCTGAAGCACACAGAGCTTGAGCCACCGGATGGCTGGGCATCCTTGTGCGAGGCCGCTCCCGTGCTGCGGCAGCTTGCAGAGCGCGACAGCTGCAGTGCCTCCGCACGGGCCTTGCGCACCATCGCCTCGCTGCGGATATGTGCCATGCAGAGGCTGCGCCTCCCACTTCAGCTGATGCTGGCAACCTTTCCGGAGGATTACTCCCTCAGGAACCTCGTCATCATTGGTGCGCCCCAAGGATGAAAGAAGAATATAGACACCACGCACGGCGACTTCTGCAACGCGGTGGGTCTGGACACTCCCTGGACACTACGTGGACTTCGCGCATCCGGCCAGGCTGTAGGGATTAGGCGGGCTTTGGGGGTGGCTACAGTCACCCGCTCGCCCAAACCCTGATCGATGGAGTGAGTTTGGGATGTTGTTGCGGCTGTATGCTTCCGCGTTCCGCCGGATGGCCAGCGAGATGTGTTCGACAAAGATGCTGCCCAACCCTCAACCCTAAACCCCCTAAGAAGGTGGACGTTGTGCATCACTGAAGTGTGGTTGCGAGACTGCTAGGCTGGTGGCGCAAAACCCTCAAAGAGGGTAAGGCGGGCTTAGGGCTGACGCGGAGAGGCTGCTCCCTGAATGTTGAATGGAGGCACACCGGGAGCCAGGATGATTCAAACTCTGGCACCTGCAGAGGGTTTAGGGTTTAAGGGTTTAAGGGAAAAAGGGTTTGCGGGTTTAGGGTTTAGGGGTTTAGGGTTTAGGGGTTTAGGGGTGTAGGGCTTGGGGTTAGGGGTTTAGGACTGAACCCTGAACCCTGAACCCTAAGATGAGGGGTCTTCGTTGTCTGGGTTCCTCACCAGCACAGCGCTCTAACGGACCAGGTCGACATGATCGCCACAGAGCCGGTGATGGAGGACCTGTCCTTTGGGCTTCGACTCGGAGATTCGTGGTATTGAATAGCCCGATTATAATTGTGGTTCATAGCCCAATTACATACTAGGACACTCAAGGGGCTTATAAGTGGGCTATAAGAACAGTCTTATTTGGGTTATAAAGTACCATGAACCTCCTTGTAGGGGGCAGCAAGCTGCAAGCTGTGCACAGGTCTTGAAGACCCTAGAAACGCTGGACTTTCGAAGCCCGCAGATGATCGTAAGCTCTCCTCAAGCATAAGACCCGAAAACAGCAAGAGCTCGGGATGTTCAAAACCGTATTTAACAGTCCTTGATAAAAAATTTTGTTACGCCCTGTTTGAATCCCTATTAAGCAGCTGTTAGTATAAGGGGGAACATCCCAACCCTAAACCTGTAAACTCCTAAACCCTTAACCCCATCAAGAATTCCCAACCCTGAGCCCCTTAAACCCCTAAACCCTAAACCCCATAAGCCCTAACCCCCAGCAAGAACTCACAAGCCTGAAAGCCTGAAACTTTGGGCTGTTCCCCCTGAAATACTAACAGTCCTTAAACTCACAAGCCTGAAAGCCTGAAACTTTGGGCTGTTCCCCCCCTGAAATACTAACAGTCCTTAAAAACCCTAAACCCTAAACCCTAAACCCTAAACCCTTATACTAACAGTCCTTTTTGAAAGCCTGAAAGATGTATCAGGAGCCCTGGGAGGCCGGAGCCCATGCACAGTCAGGGGTCGTCCTGAAGGTGTTGTGGGTTTAGGGTTTAGGGTTTAGGGTTTAGGGTTTAGGGTTTAGGGTTTAGGGTTTAGGGTGGGGATTTCGGAGTACAGGGAGTTGCTTTGGGTTTTGGAGCCTGGGAGGGTGTAGGGTTTAGCAGTTTAGGAGTTGAGGGCTCAGGGGTCTCTAGAGAAGGTTGAGCCAACTTCCACGGTAACGGTCTTCGTCTTGTATGAAGAACTCGGAAGGTTTGGAAGCCATGGGCATGAAAAAGGCACTCCCTACTTGGAGGTTCATGGTACTTTAGACCCCATTCAAAACTGTTCTTATGGCCCACTTACTAGTATAAGCCCCTTGAGTGCCCATATGTGGTTATAATTGGGGTATAGGTACAGTTATCGTTGGGCAACCCTAAACCCTACACCCTAATTAAACCCTAAACGCTAAACCTAGTAAGTACCATGAATCTCCAAGTGCCCTCCAGAGAAAGCAGTCCTCAATATGCTGAAACTCTAAAACCCCCGACACCAACAAATCACAATGAGAACTTTTATACATTACACATATGATATTATAATATATACATATGTATATATATATATATATGTGTGCGTGCGCTCTGTGTGTGTGTGTGTTTCCTCTGTTTTCAGGGGGGTGAAATGCTAGGGCAATAGGAAGGCGGGCAGGCCCCAAAGCCCTAAGTCGCCTTGTTTCCTCCAGGGTTGAGGGTGCCCCAAACCCTGAACACTCAAGCAAGAATGCCGTACTTGTAAAGCTCTAAACCCTTTGAGGTTCCCTAGGCTTCCCAAAAAAACCACGAGATCCCAAACGCTGGTGTTTCGCAGACCTAACCCTAAACCCTAACCCGTAAACCCTAAACCCATGAGATCCCAAAAGCCCAACAGTGACTTTTAGAGTTTCGGGCTTAAGCAGGGTTTAGGGGTTTAGGGCTTAGGGTTGTTTATGCAAGATGTCATCGGACGTCCCATGCGAGAAGAACGCAAGAGATCCTTAGCGAAGAAGTGAATTATCAATTGACTTAGGGCTTAGGGTTGTTTAGGTGTCGAGCCGGGCGGGCGAAGAAAGTTGGTTAGGAACGGGGCGGAGAGGGAGGGAGGTTCAGGAGCTCAGCCGGGTTCATCAAGAAGGGATTTTCTGCAGTACTTTACGCCATTTGGGTTCGTGCCTATTGTATCAGAACAATACTCAGTAACAATCGTACTACTAAGAGTACTAGTACGAATACTGGGTATACCAAGAATCAGAAATGCACTTCAGCCTTTGTTGTGCTCTAGTTGGAGAAGAAAGCTTGAGACCCTTGCTTTCCCAATACCATGGGGGGAGGGGAGCCTGCAACTTAAACACGGTTTAGGGTTTAGGGTTAGAGTTTTAGGGTTTAGTGGCCTCAGTACGGGTTCAATAACGGATAGAATCTGATTGTCAGGCTGCCATTCCGCGACGGTATTTCATGCCGGATGCAGTTTGACGAGCTCTCTCCGCGGTGCAAGAGATCAATCCACAATACCTGGGGAATGGCCCAGCTCTTACAAGTCCTAAGCCCTATAAACCCTAAACCCTAAACCCCAAACCCTAAACCCTGAAGTGATGACAAATCAGCAAAGTGAGGCTCCCCCGCCCCCCATGATGATGAAGCCGGAATTGACTCAGACGTGTCGGTCACAGACTCCCTCTCCCTCCCCCTTTCTGGAACGATCCACCCTCCGCTTGATCATGTTGACAAAATGAGTTGCTGCAGCGGGGGTGCCTTGCCATGTCAGGTGATAGAGGAAAAGGGTTGAGCAACAAGAAGTACTGAGGCCTGGCAGGGTCCTTCCTCGACCCTCTGAGCTCCTGCGTGTCTGACCCGTGATGATGCCTGAGCAATCTGGCGGGAGTTTCGGATGGGATCAAGAACATGAAAGGCCGTACTGTTGGGTCGCAGACGTTTCGTAGCACTCCGGGAGGGCATCAAAACATGAATCACAACACCTCAAAAGCCCCCAAAGCCCTCTTTAAAGCAAAGACTGCAGGGTTGGCTTCAGGAAGTCATGGCCTAAGGGGCGGACAAATATACACGGGGTCTCCATGTGAGGTTGGGGTTTATCGGAGGATCGTTGCCCTCCATCGTTCTGAGTTATAGCACCCAGAATCATGGATAAGCTTGGTATGCTTCAAAGGTGTACCTCGAATGTCGGGACGTCTACCTTACGAGCGAACACGGTATAATCCAAAGAGCGACAGAAGAGCGAATAGAAATCAATACAAGCACGTACGCGTAATCATACATGAGAACGTTTCATAGCTGGTGCTCACCATCAATCATACCGATGAACAGGGTTTACGGTTTAGGGTTTCGGGATCCAGCTCCACAGGCCAGGCGCACGCGCAAGGGGTACTAGTAGGGCTTCGTGGGCCGGGAGTTGCTTTTCTTTAAGGGAAGTTTAAGGGGCTTCAGGGTTTAGTGTCAACAGGGCCTGTCTTTGTCATAGGTGAGCAACATGTTTACATTTTTAAGGGTACTTAAACCCAATAAGGAATTATAAATACTATCCCAACCATGAACTAGCAGGGTTTGTATAGGTTTCAGGGTTCAGGGGCACAAGAGGAGAAGATTGCTCAGGCTCAGTTGTGGCGGGACTGGCTAATGACTACCCCCCCCTGAAGCCCGACGAACAGTCGGGCCTGAGATCCAGCTGAAGCCTAGGAACGACAAGCCCCTCAGAGTCGAATATGTAAGAACAGCTCCCATGCTCGCATGGTTGCGACACTGGGGGTATCTCGCCTTCGCGTGGGAGCTAGAGTTTTCAGGTCACCTGAGGTAGGGGCCTAACTCGGCGACATACGGCTGCATGGCTTCAGCACCAGTTCCACGTTTCTGTCTTGGGCGCAAAAAGCTCGGAAAAAGCCCCAAATCCCGAACCCAGAATGGCACCAAGAAAGCCCGCCAAGATCCTGCCTCAAGAGGTTTTGGGTTTAGGGTTTACGGTTTAGGCTTTAGGGGTTCAGGGCTGTAAGGGGCATTTGAGATCTTACTGCTCGGATGTCATCAGGCTTTCGCGCTTTTGCAGGGCTGGCAGGTCGGGGCTTGCAGATAGTTTTTGGGTTTTGGGTTTAGGGTTTAGGGTTGAGGGTTTAGAGACGTTTACAGTGTTTCAGATGTCTTTCGGGGCTGATGCCATCAGAGGTTTTTTCTGGAGACCGGCTTCGAAAACTTGGGCGAGCAGTGCCGTGCTGTGTAGAGACAACGGGAAGATGCGCCTGCGGACGCTCCATGAGCCACAGGGCCCCCCCAACCAAGAACCCTACCGCCTAAGCGCCCTAAACTCTAAACCCTGAACCCTAAACCCAAAACCCTAAACCCTAAGCCCCAAACCCTAAGCCCTATAAGCCCTATAAGGCCCACCCTGAGAACCCCACATGTCTTTCGTAGGTTATGAATCGCAGAAGCGGTTTCGGTACCACATTACCATGACTACTATTTGCTTAAGAACTTATTAAGAACCCCAAAAGAATAAACACAATGGTAATCCCTATATTCCCCTTAGTAAGGATGGTTTTTCTCGGGGTTCTTAAGCAATTAGTAGATGAAGGGTTTAGACGAGGGTAATTCCATGTAGGCATAGGCAGGCTCGGTTTAGGGTTTAGGGTTTAGGGTTTAGGGTCTTAAAGTGCAGCCCAGGACAGCAGCAGGGGAGTGTGAAGTATCAAGGCCTGGGCAAGGTGTGTGGGGTTTGGTTTCAGGCTTAGGTTTCCAGGTTTTAGGGTTCCAGGGTTCTCGTGTTCTAGGGGTTCTAAGGGTTCTAGGATTCTAACGGTTCTAAGGGTTCTAGGGTTCTAAGGGTTCTAGGGGTTCTAAGGGTTTTTGCGTAAAGGTCTTAGGTCCTTAAATCTTAGGCTTCGAGCTCCATAAACCCTAAACCCTAAACCCTAAACCCTAAACCCTAAACCCTAAACCCTAAACCCTAAACCCTAAACCCTAAACCCTAAACCCTAAACCCTAAACCCTAAACCCTAAACCCTAAACCCTAACCCAGGTCCTCCGCGAGTTGCCACCTTTGCAAGCTGCCGGGGGCCTCCACTTTAGGGTTTAGGGTTTAGGGTTTAGGGTTTCGAACTTCTCAAGCCTTTTGGGGGGGTTTAGGGGATGATGGTTCAGGGGTTAGGGGTTTAGAGGCTTAGGGGGATGATGATTTAGGGGTTTAGGAAGGGTTTAGGGTTTAGGGTTTAGGGTTTAGGGTTTAGGGTTTAGGGGAAAGTTGAGGATGCGGACTTCGCATTTATGCTGTGCTTTCGGGTTTGAAAAGTGCGAGTTTCTGTTGCGATGGCTGGAGTCGAGGGAGATCTTTGTGGTACTTTACTGTAACTTTAGATCCTTACCTTTTTTGGGTTCATTGGGTTTCTTGTTCAGGCAGCTAGAAGTTTAATTTATAGCTACCCTCCTGAGTGCAGCCAAGAGATAGATGTTTATGTAGGCATTCAGGTTTGGAGGTTTCACGGGTTATATAAGTTGGGGGAGTTGATGCATTAAGAAGATGGTGTAGAGGGTGCGGGCAGGCCCTGACTCGGGTAAAGGACGTTTGCGAGGGTTTTTTGGGGTGGAGAGCTTGAGCAGCTGCAGGGTAGTGCCTATTCCTTAAGCCCTTCGTAGCCTTAAGAATACAACTACAACCCACACGGCCCAAATACCCCTGAACTAAGGAATTGAGCCAAGTCTCGCAAGTTGCTGGCTTCAAGAGGTGTCGAGGCTGCCTCGTGTGTTCCACACGGCCATGGGCCTGCAGCCACGCAGCTGGGGGCCACTGTGCCCATCCGCTGTGTTGGGACCATGACCCCAGTGCCGGGCACGCCGCTCGGGGGGGAAAGAGAGCGAGAGCGCTCACCCCCGCGTGGTGTCTCTGCGCGTCATGACTCCGGGGCTGCTCCGATGATGGTGGATGCTCAAGGCCCTCCCCGTTTGCACTGTCCAGTGCGTGGATGCCCATGCTCTGACCCCGCCACGTCACGCGGGTGGCTCACCGTAGCTACTTTGCGCCATCATGTGGATGCGCACCTTGCAGGCGGCTTGACTGGGGAGGTTCCGCCTGACTGGTTGCGAGCTAACAACCTGCAGCGTTGCCCGCAATGTGGATTGTCTGTCTCGGTGCGTTTGGGCACCCATCCCAGCTGCCAGCCGGCAGCCCGTGCAGCGGCGGCAGGAGCTACGTCGTCTCGGGGACATGCGGGCGTCGATCTCCCGGACCTGGCCGCTGTCCATGCTTCCTGCACTTCCACGCTTCGCCATGTTCCGACTTCCGTCCGGCATGTGTGGGGTCAGGTGCTCACTCGTGCATTAGCAGCTGTGGTGCATTTCAACGACTTGCAGTCTTGGAAAGAGCTTCTGATGCTCCCGCAGTGCGTCCTGTGCGCCCCCCCACGGGGTGGGAGGCGGCACAAGCGCGCTGTTGCGGCTTACACTCGGGATAGACTCAACCGCTGGTTGGAGGGCGAGCGGATGGCTTTGTGGGAGACACGGCCCGTGTCGCGCCCCAACCGCGGTGGCTCCAGCGCCGAGGCACGTCTTGAGCTCGCTGAGGCCCTGGGCCGGGAGGGCTTGGACCGGAAGGCTTGCGCTGCACTACTCTCGCAGGGGCTTTGTGCTGAATCCCCCGAAACAGTCCAGGCTCTTCGAGACCTTCACCCAGCTCAACCGCCGCCTACGGTTCTTCCAAACCCTGAGTTGCCGCCGCCGCCTTCTTTCGAGCCAGACTCTGTTGCGCGGGCTCTGCGCAGCTTTCCGGCTGGCTCCGCTCCAGGCCCGTCGGGGCTTAGGCCGCAGCACTTACTGGAGGCGATGCCGCCAGGCACTGAGTCTGGGCTTTTGGAGCAGCTGACTGCTGTCGCCAATCTCCTGGCTGCTGGCAACGGCTGCCCGACCGTGAGCCCCTACTTAGCCGGAGCCAAACTGGTTGCCCTGCCCAAGCCTCGCGGGGGGGTTCGCCCTATCGCAATAGGTGAAACCCTGCGGCGATTGGTAGGCAAGTGTCTGATGGCAACTGTGAAGGAGGATGCTCGCAACTACTTTTGGCCCGAGCAGGTTGGCGTGGCAGTCCCCGCTGGTACTGAGCGCATAGTGCACACAGTGCGTGACTGGCTGGGCCGCCACGCGGCAGCCCGGGACCGCGTCCTTGTCAAGTTAGACTTCAAGAACGCCTTCAACCTCGTGTCTCGGCAGAGCTTCCTGGATGCCTGCGCAACCCAGTTCCCTAGCTTGTCGCGGTGGGCCAGGTGGTGCTACCAGAACACGTCATGCCTGCAGTTTGGCAACACTGTGCTGCAGTCCGCGGGTGGCGTCCAGCAGGGTGATCCGTTGGGGCCGCTCCTGTTCGCTGCAGCTCTGCAGCCACTGGCGCAGGAACTGCGTGGAGCCCCCTTAGACCTAGCTGCCTTCTTCCAGGATGATGGCGTCCTGGCGGGCAAGACAGCAAGTGTCCTGGAAGCGCTGGGACATGTCTTGCGGCGTGGGCGAGAGCTTGGTTTGCAGCTCAACTTGTCCAAGTGTGAAGTTGTTCTCGTTGGCCAGACTCCCCGTGCAGCAATTGCAGACTTTCCTGCGCAGCTTGTGACCGATGCAGATGGCCGGGACCGGGTTCTGCATGAGTTCGAGCTCTTGGGAGCGGCCTTTGGGAGCGCCCAATATGTTAACGCCAGCGCCCAGGCACGCGTTGATGCTGCCGGCCAGCTGCTTTCTGCTCTAGAAGAACTGCGTGACCCTCAAATAGGGTTGCGCCTTCTCCGCTCATGTGCCAGCCACAGTCGCCTGGTGCATGTCATGCGCTGCAACCCCCCCTCTGCCCAGCATGCGGCTTTGCAAGCTTTCGACACCAGGAGCCGCCACTGTTTTGCTGCGCTCACTGGTTTGCACCTTAACCGCATGCAGTGGCAACAAGCTGGCCGGGGTTTCGCGCAAGCAGGCCTGGGTCTGCGCCAAGCTGTGGTAGACGCGCCCGCTGCCTACCTGGCCTCGCGCGGTGGTGTCGCCTCGGCATGCCAACAGCTCGATGCTGGCTTCGACTCTGCTGCTCTGTCCGAGACGGCTGAGGTCAGGCAAGCGCTTGTCTTGTTGAATGCACAACTGGCCCAACCCCTTTCTGGCTCAGCAGCATTGGCAAAGCGCCAGGGCGAGCTTTGTGACCTCCTGGATGATGCCAGTTGGCGGCGCCAGCTTTCTTGCTCGACTCCGGTTGCCAAAGCCTTCCTGCTTTCTGAAACGCAGGTGGGCGCCAGGGCTTTCTTGGCCGCTGTGCCCCGTGAGCGTGGTCGCATGGATCCAGCTGCCTTCGTGGCGGAGCTGCGTCTCCGGCTGGGAATTCCCGAGGCCACGGATGATGTGTGGTGCCCTCGCTGCGACAGCGTCCTAGATGCTTACTCCCACCACGCTGGCGTTTGCTCCGTAGGTGGGGAGCGCACGCTCCGTCACAACGCTGTCCGGGATTTGGTGTGCTCGTGGGCCACCCGAGCAGGTCTGCAGCCAGAGAAGGAGAAGCCAAACCTTCTCCTGCCGCAACGGCCCGAGGACAGCCATCTGGCGCGCAAGCGCCCCGCTGACATCTTCATCCCCTGCTTGGAGGGGACCCCGTCCGCACTCGACTTTGCCATCACTGGCCCCCAGCGGATGGAGTCCCTCCCCCAGGCAGCTGCTGAAGCTGTCAGCGCGGCAGCTGCTTACGCGGCAGTAAAGGCCAGCCACCATGATACTGCGGCTGTTTGCACTGTGCAGGGAGTCAAGTTCATTCCCATGGTGGCCGAAACTACCGGGGCGTGGGACAAGGGGGCTGCGCGCGTGCTGCGGCTGATCGCAGCAGCTACAGCAGCCCGTGAAGGCGGTGACTGCGCCGCCCTCACGGCCACCATGTTCCAGGAACTTTCCGTGTGCATCCGGGGCTTCCGCGCCCGAGCCACTCTCCGCAGGAGAGCTGAGTTGCAAGTGGCCGCCCGCAATGACCCGGTGCGGTCAGCAGAGCTTGTGCTCGAGTCGTCGGGACTGTAGTATTCTTCGGCAAGCCTCCAGGGCCTCGCTCCTTGGCCTCTACTTGAGTCAGTCAAGCACCATCCTCGGCCTTCGCCGGTCAAGCCTTCTTGCCCGTCCTCCTGTGATGCCGGCCTGCTGTCTGCGCAGACTTGGGATGTGGTGTTTTTGGGAACATAAGCTTCTCGCTGCCCTAAGCCTGTGAGCCAATTGTGCTTGCAGTCTCCCAGCGTGGTTTAGTCTGGTTCTGCGCGGCCCTCAGAAGTAGGAGCGCTTCCTTCTGTTTGGCATGCATTGTTTGTTGAGCTGCTTGCTGAGCCTCGCATGCTCGGCCTACTTTGCTTGCGTCCGGTTTTGACTAGTATTAGCCTTCCATTCCAGCCAGACCGCTAGGAGTCCTGTTCAGCACATGTCAAGCAACCATTGCCCTGAGATCCTCAAGAGTGCGCACCATCACAATACCTGAAATCAGATCAGGGATCCCCGTAATAAACTAAGGTCTACTCCTTAATTCAGGGGCAGTGGGGCTCTTTGGGAAATGGGCATCTCCCAAAATAGGGTGCCCCTTTTCTGCCCCAAATAGAATAGAATCCTTTTAAAGGGCGCCCAAAAAGGGAACCCCTATTTTCGGAAAGCACCGAATTGTTCCGCACAAGGCCATGGAGCTCGGGGATATGGCTTCGTTGGACCTGGAGCTCTCCAAGTGGCGGGGGGAGGCAGGTTTAGGGTTCAGGGTTTAGGGTTCAGGGTTCAGGGTTCAGGGTTTAGGGTTTAGGGTTTAGGGTTTAGGGGTCTGGGGATCCAGGGACGGCTAAAGCTGTGGATTTGATGGGCTTAGAGATGTACCAGGTGCCCGAAATCCCTAAAGCTTCTTGTGGTGTGTTGAGTTTCCTATGACTCAAGCAGGCGCACGGGTTTCTGTGAGTGCTTCGGGGGGTCCAAGTCGAGGGGCTGAAGGTAGATATCCCCTCTTTTCGGGAGCTTAAGTTCCCTTATGGGCCCCTGGTTAAAGCAAAAAGCTCACCCTTTGTATTCCCCAGATTCCTTCTTGGGTCTAGTAAACTGCCTCGTACCAGATATGCCTTATGCCGAGGGGATGAGCCGAGCCCGAACCCCAAAGGATTTGGAAGCCCCCCCCCCCCCCCCCGCCCCAAATGCGCAAAGTTTGGGGTTTAGGGTTTAGGATAAGCCCTCGGTTGTAAATCATCTTGTGAATGGTTGAAAGATGGCATGTGCACGCAGAGGTTCATGGGTAGTTTTCAGTGGGGTTTCAGTCGGGTAACTACATGTATAACTGGTTATTACCTGATTTAGGCTACTTACAAACCAAGAAGCTTCAAGTAGACTTGTGTCCCTACCCAGGTTCTTTCTGCAAGGTTTGGGGACTGTCGCGGAGTGGTTGAAGCCGTGGTCCGGGTGCCCAGAGCTTCCAAACCCTAAACCCTAAACCCCCAGGGTGTTTTGTGGGTTTTGTGGGCCTGAGGACTCAGGGTTTTGATAGGGTTGAGGCTTTAGGGTTGAGGGTCTGTTTGCTTCCGGAGTTCTGTTCGGCTGGGACACAGCATGTGCGAGCAGTCTGCAACCAGGGCACTTGTCAGAGCCCTGGCGCAAGAAGGGTTTAGGGTTTGGAGGATTCAGGTACGCTCCGACTCGGGGGTTAGATCTAAGGGTCTTCCTTGGAAATTGCTTAGGGTGCCTATGGCTTTATAAGTGGAGATACAATGGAGAGTGTGGGGGCCCGCACCGGAAACGCCAAGACTGCTGTCGCGCGCAGTCGATTCCGACGTCCCCTCGTGTCTGCGCATGCTATAAATTTCCGGTACTCTGAACGATGGGAACTCGGATATTGGCGCAAGCATGGTTCCTGGTTTGGGGATTAGTGCATGGATGTCTTTTTCTGGCCTTATGTGTACACACCCTCTTCCTGTCTCTATACATAGATATTTATATGTATAGTTTTGTTTCTTTATTTATGTTTGTGTAGTTTTGTTGAAGACGCCTCATGGATTCTTTTCAAGCTCTAAATGGATGCAGTATGGAGATCTTAACCGCACAGTGACCAGATGACCCCACAGAGCCCAGGTCAACGCGACACCCTAAACCCTAAACATCCCTATATAAACCCAAAACTCTGAGGTCAATATGGCCAAGGAAAGGCTTCTAACCTGGCGTGGCGTGGACCACACCTGGAAGGCAGGGGGTTTTTTGTGTCAGAGGGAAGGAGAATCTGCCGGGCTTCCGGTGTTGTCTTAAGACCCTCCAAAGTCGAACGTCTCGAGAGAATCTAAAGCTAGAGCAGCCTCGACAAAATTTACCGAGCAGGGCCCCCACAAATCCCACCACGTCTTTGGGCTTGAAACCCCTAAACCCCTAAACCCTAGACCCTAAACCCCAAACCCTAAACCCCCAAACTGCTTCAAGACCGGGCGGCTTCTCGCCTAGAAGGAATGATCAGAATCAATAGCGCCATCATGCCAAGTGCTAGCGATCTTGAAACCATACCCCTCTGAGCATCACCATTTCTCTAGCTTGAGAAAAACCCTAAACCCTAAACCCCAAACCCTAAACCCTGCTTAGCAACAGCCAAAACAAACTCTAAGCCGGAGCCTTGATCCCCAGACCAACCCGTCAGGAGTTAGCAGCAGCAAAGAAAGATGACGTAGGGTTCGGAATAGTTCCTGAGTAGTATTCCCTCATCATGGTTTCTTTATGGATATACCAGCATATCCTCCCCAAAACCCTATTCTAATCATTAAGGCCCCTTTTTTTTTCCGAAGCACCGAACCTCCCCCCCCCCCCCCCCCCATCGCCCTTTTGCAGGAAGTGATCCGAGAAGTGGAGCGCATGCCAAGTAGCCTGTCCTCCTTGACCAACCAGTGCCACCCTCAGTTTATGGGGTTTAGGGTTTAGGGCTTTTTGGGCAAGGCTTGCATGCATGGAGCGAAGAAGCATATACCTTTTTGATTTGTCTGCTGACAAGGGGGCAGCAAGCCGCGGGGAAGACTGTGGCTTCTTCTCAGGGCCTCTGAGTCTGGGCGCTGTGGGGTTTTCGTAGTGAAAAAATGAGACATATACAGCGCAGGGAAGCAACATGGGATGTGTTCCGTCAGAACATGAGAAGTTGTCGTGCTACGCAGAGCTGTTTTTTTTTTTACACGGGTTCCCGCGCACGCCTGACGGATGTGGCTTGGAGATCCCCCCTGCCGCATTGTACTTGCTTACTCTTGAACATGGAGCAGAACTGGGACTCTCTTTACCTACAGTCGAGTACTAACTTCCCTTACTTAGTATGGGTACAACCCATAAAGCTGCAGGTAAAGACGGTCCCAAGAACATGTAGCACCTCATGTTTCGAGCGCTGCCCTATCCTAAAGAATCCTAGACAAGAAGCCAGAAAACCTGCAGCCGCAAGAACGTCCAAGGCCATACGCGGTTCCGAGCCCTCACAATCCCACGAAACCCTAGACCCTAGACCCTAAACCCTAAACCCGCCTAAACCCTAAACCCTAAACCCGCCTAAACCCTAACCCTAAACCCTAGCATTGCGAAGCATTGAGGTGCCAGCGCCTCTTCCGCGCCATGAAGGAGGCGCAGCTCACCAAGCCCGGGGGCCCAGTTTTGCGCCTCACCGCTCTTCATGTGCACAGGGGGGAGGCTTAGGGTTTAGGGTTTAGGGTTTAGGGTTTAGGGTTTAGGGTTTAGGGTTTAGGGCTTCTGCTGGCCAAGCCTGCACTCTGGTTCAGGGTTTGGGGCAAGTTCTTCCCCAGCCAGGAGGTTCAGGGGTTCTTCATTGCGAGCTTATACCTTGCACTTGGGTTGCCTGAGCCGGGACCTCAGTCCCCAACGGATTTTTTTGCTCGCTGCTTACCGCATTCAGTAAGGTTCGACAATACAAATAGAGAAGCACACATCCAGCTATCCACCGCCCACAGCCCTAAACCCTAAACCCTAAACCCTAAACCCTAAACCCTAAGCTTGGTATGAGGGGAAAGGATGCAGGTGACGGCTTGTTTCCTCGAAGCCGGTTGGCTCAATTCCTTGTGTAGTCTGCCGGAATTCATCCATGACCACCGAGTAGTGGCCCGGGTCAGGAGGTCCGGGGTTTAGGGCTTAGGGTTAAGGTTTTAGGGTTTAGGGCTTAGGGTTTAGGGGGAATTTCCGGGGTGTTAGGGGCAAGAGGTTGCACGTGCTGACCCAAACCCTGAATACAAATCTTGCTGGGGTGAGATCCTCACAGCGAGTTGGGGCTTCCCAGTTGGGGAGAGGGAGGAGGGTTGGGTGGGTGATGGTCGGATTCGGGGCTGTGCGGAGGGTTGGATCGTATTGCATCACCAAGCCTCACCCGGTCTCACCGTCACTTTGAGACCCCTAATCTCTTCGGTAGGTTGCTAGGCTTATAAGGGGTGCACTTTCTCGTTTTCCTGCAAAAGCAAGTTTGCCCCCCCCCCCCCCCCCAAAAAAAAAAGAAAAAAAAACAATGGAAGGGCCTGTACAGGCCCAAATCTTGTCTTGCTCTACATCCTCGAATCCCATGAGATTGCGGCATCCGAAGCTCTTCTGCCTTTGTTTTGGAGGACCCTTCGGGGGCACGGCCGTATCCATGAGCATCCTGAGGCCATGGTAGTTGTTGATGAGTTCGGGAAGTATTTTTATGCTGAGAAGATTTTAAGGGGCTAGTGTTGGGGGGGGGGGGGGGCAAAGGGTACTTGTAGTTCTTGCTGGGATCAGTGGTTTTGAGTCTCCGGATCCTTGGAACCTCTGTGCCGTGACTGCCTGAAGACTGCTTGCAGGACCTAAAGGGCTCAGCGTTAGAGAGAGAGTGAGAGAGGGAGAGAGAGAGAGAGAGGGAGGGAGGGACCTCAACCGCATCTTTGCTGAGTGCTGGCACCTGGCGTCTTCTGGTCGGCCTCGTGGCGACGGTCGCGCTGCGGCCGCACAACGACTTCCTGAGCTCCTCGGCTTCTCTACCAAGACTCCTGGGCTCAGACACCGATTCAGATTACCAAGAGCGCTACAGTGGCTAGAGCGAGCCCCGAGTCAGAGTTTAACAATATGCCAAGCCCGTTCATGCTGCTACACGAATCCCTAAACCCTAAGGCCCTAAACCCTAAACCCTCTTGTCAGTTGCCTCAACTCGGACCTTTCACAAAATCGGTGGTCTACTGCTCGGCCTCAAACGGACTGCTGATGACCAGGATGGGCTTCGATGCCCTATGTTGCCCTTGAAAGGGCCCCTTTTGTAGGGTTTAGTGTTTAGTGTTTCGGGCTCGGAAGCTCAGTGCCTTTTTTCTTCCAGGTGATGAAGCAGATGCGGCCCAGCTGCAACTCACACCAGACTCACATTCCCTCAGCTATATCCCCAAAACTCTATTTGTGTTTATATAAAACCCCAGAGGATATTAAAGGTAATATGTTTTTAAAGGTTCTAAGGGGAGTATAGTCAGTTCTTTCAATACAGCCCAGCCATTTGCGAATTCCTGCGGGACAGCGCACGTTTTTTCATTGCCTTAAAGGGAACCCTAAACCCTAAACCCTAAACCCTAAACCGGTGGCAAAAAAAAACCCTAAACCCTAAACCCTAAACCCTAAACCCTAAACCCTAAACCCTAAACCCTAAACCCTAACATTTCATACAGGAGCCTCAACAAAGCCCAACGTTGGTCCTCAAAAATGCAAGTAGGTGGGCGCTGGGAGACTCGAAGTCATTTGCCTCGCCCCCGCTTGACCCCTAAACCTTAAACCCTAAACCCTATAACCCCATAACCCCATAACCCCATAACCCCATAACCCCATAACCCTATAACCCCATAACCCCATAACCCCATAACCCCATAACCCCATAACCCCATAACCCCATAACCCCATAACCCCATAACCCCATAACCCCATAACCCCATAACCCTATAACCCTATAACCCTCTAACCCTACATCCCCCTAACCCCTTGCAGAGGAGTCCCGGGCGTCCCTGGTAGCACGCTTCACCGACGCAGCCGAAGCCTTCATCCAGGAGCTCTCAGACACTGAGTCGCCCGGCACCGACCCTGCAGGGAGAGGGGTTTAGGGTTTAGGGTTTAGGGTTTAGGGTTTAGGGTTTAGGGTTTTGAGGAGGGGCTTAGACCTTGAAAAACAACCACCTTGATTCTTGGTGATCAGGTCCTGAGAAGGAACAGCAGGCCCATAAACGCCCTAAACCATGCATACGTAGCCCGATCAGCCCCCCAAAACCCTACAAACCCCTTCACTAAGGGATGCTTGGGAATAACTTTTTTAAGTTTTGGGCACTATAACTCCCAAGAAACAGCATGAATCTTGACTTGTGCCAGGGTCCCATATTCAGTAGAGCTTCAAGCAGGCTCCACCATGCGCGCAGCCTGCCACACATAGCGCTTCTGGAGGAGCCAAGGGGCTGGAAGGCTTTGTGCGCCCTAAACCCTAAGCCCTAAACCCTAAACCCTAACCCCAAACCCTAAAGTCTAAACCCTAAACCCTAAACCCTAAACCCTAAACCCTAAACCCTAAACCCTAAACCCTAAACCCTAAACCCTAAACCCTAAACCCTAAACCCTTAACCCTAACCCTAGCAGAATCTAGACCTCATGGGTGCATGGGGTTTACACGGAGTTAGGCATCGGATCCAACATGTCAGCGTGGTGTTGCCGGAAGAATCTCTCTTGCGCCTCAGAAGGCTAGTTGCCGCCTCCTCCCCTCCTGTCGGCTCAAATGGGGGTTTACGAAAATAAGGGCCTCCTTGTATCATCCCCGAAATAGTAGGATTCCTTTATAAGTAATAAGGACCCCAATAAGGCCCTCCCAATATCGTAAACCCCCAAAATGGTTCCAGTATGCCAGGAGAAGGGGCTGCCACTGTCCAAACAGTTCAGATACTTCGCCTTGATGGAGGCTGGGTTGGCGCAGCCGCGCACATCAAGCACTGCGCAAATGTGCCGACACCTGGAATACCTACTCGAAATGGGCAGATCGTGGTTGGTCTGGGTATACGTAGATGTGCTCTGATGCGTCTTTCTGAGCCTTTGAGCTTCAGAACGCTAGATCGCCAATTCGCGCAGGAACGTCCAAAGGTTCAAGGACCTATATAACCCTCATTCCTAAACTCTAAACCCTAAACCCCGCAACCCTAAACCCTCAACGCCGCAACCCTAAAGCCTTCTGAATCCTTGAGGCGGTCAGGCATGGGGCCTTCGACATCCCTTCTCCCATGCACTCGCCGCTGCGTCCTGAAGGGAGTATGGGGTGTATGGGGGGTTACGATCTTAGGGGTGCCTTATTGGGGTCCTTATCACTTTAAGGGAATCCTCCTATTTGGTTCCCTTGTTTTCGTAAACCCCTGTAGAAGGTTTAGGAGCTGCAAAAGAGGTACGGTGGGTTTAGGAGGACCCTGAACCCTAGTGATCATACCCTTCCCTACCTATGGATGGAATCAACATAGCCCTCCTTAGTACCCTCTTCAGCATTCCGAAGCTCGAAGCAACCCTCCACAGAAGTCCGCCCACCGAAGTTTTTGCATCAGCCAAACAGTGCAAGCAGAGCTGCCAAACTTAGTTGTGCGTGAGGTTGATGCTTTGCGTGAACTGCACAAATCACACCACAGGGAGTCATGCGGGGGTTCCGAAATGAGGGGGACCTTATTGGGATCCTTACTATACGGGCATCCTATTAATTGGGGTCTATAATGTCGGACCTGCTTTAATAAGCTTACCCCCCGCCCCCCAAACAGTCGAGGACCCTGAATAAAAAAAGACCCCAAACAGTCAGGCAGGGAAGGGGTCTGAGCAAGCAGGACGTGGAAAGAAATGAGCTCTCCTGAGGGTTCTGGAACCACATCTCAAACGAAGAACTTGAACCTCAAAAACCATTTAAACAAAAAACAAGTCACGGCCCGAAAACTTTTCATTATAGTGTACCCCCACAACACAGGGCCACGACCCTTCATAGCCGAACAACTTTTCGTAAGAGCGTCCCCCTAGAATATTGCAGGTGCCACATTATTAGGGGTCTATGTGAATCCCTAAACCTTCACCCTTAAACCCTGAACCCTAAACCCTAAACCCTAAACCCGACTACAGTAGGGGTCCCCTATCTTTCGTAAGCCATGTGAGTCATGGGCCCCTCAGGCACCTCCAACTCAGCACAGGCATCGGGCTCGAGGAGGTGCATGTGTTGTGGGGTTTAGGGTTTAGGGTTTAGGGTTTAGGGTTTTCGGGTTTAGGGTTTAGGGTTTAAGGTTTAGGGTTTAGGGTTTAGGGTTAGGGTGTTGCGGCTCTTTAGACTTCGCACCTGCCTTCCGTGGGGACCAAGCGAACCGTAGAATTAGGGTTATAATTACCCTTTGCTACTACAGCCCTTCTTAACGTACATGAGCCATGAACCCTTTTGGGGTGCATCTCGTCCCCAAGGTTGCAAAGGTTGTGGGCGTTTAGCTTGCAGCATACTCGCCCTTCAAGCCGGACACTATCGAGGTACAGTGTGTGTGTGTGTGCGCGCGGAGTGGACACGCGGGCGCACATGCACACGCACGCATGTACGCCCGCACCCACTTCAAGGCAGGTGACCCGTGGCTTTTTCTTTCTCTCTCCGTCTCTCCGTCTCTCTCTCTCTCTCTTTTTCCTTCTCTGCCTCCAAGTGTCTGTGCACAAAATATGCCAATGTATTGCATATAAGACCTAAGCATATACATTATATATGTATATACAGAAAATCACATACATTCATTTGTGAGGTCTATTTGCGAGTACGTTTTTGTGCATCAGACCTGCCTTCAATGTTTCTGCGACGAGGCGAATGCCACCAATGCCACCAATTCCACCAATGCCACCAATGTCACCAATGTCACCAATGTCACCACACCCGAGCTTGAGCTCCAGAAGGCCATTGGAGAGCAAGGGAGGCAGAGGAAGAGAACGAGTGTGAAGAAGAGAAAGAGAAGCAAGCACGAACATGGTACCGTGGTAAGAGCAGGGGGGGAGGGGGAGAAGCTCACATTCTCTTCAACCCCAGAACCCCTCCTCCTGCTCCCTAAACCCTAAACCCTAAACCCTAAACCCTAAACTCTAAACCCTAAACCCTAAACCCTAAACCCTAAACCCCCAAAATCCCCCTTTGCTGCCAGGCCTTCGGGTCAGAGCCGGCACCCCAGCCATTCCGGCCGCAAGAACTGGAGCCTCGGAACGGGTTTTTAGGGTTTAGGGGTTTTAGGGTTTAGGGTTTTAGGGCTTAGGGTTTAGGGGTTTTAGGGTTTAGGGTTTTAGGGCTTAGGGTTTAGGGGTTTTAGGGTTTAGGGTTTTAGGTTTAGGGGTTAGGGGTTTTAGGGTTTAGGGTTTTAGGGCTTAGGGTTTGGGGTTTTTTAGGGTTTTAGGTTTTAGGCTTCGGGTTTAGGGGTTTTAGGGTTTAGGGTTTTAGGGTTAGGGTTTTAGGGGTTTTAGGGTTTAGGGTTTAGGCTTTAGGGGTTAGGGTTTAGGCTTAGGGTTTAGGGTTTTAGGGTTTAGGGTTTTAGGGCTTAGGGTTTAGGGGTTTTAGGGTTTAGGGTTTTAGGGCTTAGGGTTTAGGGGTTTTAGGGTTTAGGGTTTTAGGGCTTAGGGTTTAGGGGTTTTAGGGTTTAGGGTTTTGGGTTTTAGGGGTTTTAGGGTTTTAGGGTTTTAGGGTTTAGGGTTCAGGGTTTTAGGGGTTTCAGGGGTTTAGGGTTTTGGGGTCTAGGGTTAGGGTTTTAGGGTTCTTGGGGTTTTACGGTTTGAGGGTTTTAGGGTTTGAGAGTTTTAGGGTAGTAGGGTTTCAGGGTTTTAGGGTTCGGATTCCCCAGTCTGCGAGAGAGAGATAGAGAGAGGGTTTTTAGGGTTTTAGGGTTTTTAGGGTTGGACTTCGAGTGAGTGCTTACAATGGCAAAAGAGGGTTAGGGAAACGGTTTTTTTGTTGCATTTGGACTACATTCACCAGGTGTCCAGATGCAAAAAAAGGTACCTAGGGTTTGGAGCATTAGGGACTAAGGCCTCAAGAGGTTTTTGGTTGGCGTGGCTTTCAGAAAAAATGGTTGTCAGAGATTGCTTCGCCTGAGATTAAATGCAGGTTTTCAAAATGGGCCACCCCAACACCCCTAATCTCTGGAATTGTGCATTTTAGTTCCAATTTTGAGGGTTTAGGGTTTAGGGTTCAGGGCTCCTTAAAACAATGGTTCTTTGGGGAGTTATAATAGTAAGGGTTGAAGGATTGCCGGGTGTTTCTGCGTCGTCGTGGCAATTAAGCAGGCAAGCTGCCAAACCTAAACCCCCTAAACTCTAAACCCTTATTCAGGTTCAGGTTGCTAGGGTTTAGGGTTTAGGGTTTAGGGTTTAGAGCTCACGTTCCTAAACCCGTTGACCCTCCCCCCCCCCCCCCCCTGTCCCGGCACACCCTCTCGGACATCACCCCTCAGGCTAAACCCCTGACCCCTGAAGCCTTCAAGCCCCATATCATAGCGCGATATATATATATATATATGTATCTATGTATTTGTTTATTCATTTATCTTTTTAATGTTTCCAGTGTGAATTTGTATTTGGGGCTATTTTGGTAGCATTCCAGGAATCGCAACGGGATGATATGGGTCTGCCTCCTTTGCAATTTCCCTAAACACTAGATTCTCCTAAACCAGGAACCCTGAACCCTCAACCCCAAACCCTAAACCCCAAACCCTAAACCCCAAACCCTAAACCCTAAACCCCAGGCGGGTGGCAAAAAGGGACCCGAAACCCCCAACACCGCGGACCGCTGCCATGGGGAGTGCCTGCTCGCTGGAGCCACCGGAGCCGAGAGGACACCCTGTCGAAGCAGTTGTTGGTAAAGGCTCTAAAGGGTTTAGGGTTTAGGGTTTAGGGTTTGTGCAGCAGTCCTAGCCGTAAAAACGGGTTTAGGGTTTGGGGTTTAGGGTTTAGGGTTTGTGCAGCAGTCCTAGCCGTAAAAACGGGCTTAGGGTTTGGGGTTTGGGGTTTAGGGTTTAGGGTTTGTGCAGCAGTCCTAGCCGTAAAAACCGGTTTAGGGTTTGGGGTTCGGGGTTTAGGGTTTGTGCAGCAGTCCTATCCGTAAAACAAGGTTTAGGGTTTGGGGTTTAGGGTTTAGGGCCTCGGACCCCTGAGGTTGTACCCTTGGGTTTGGGAACCCTTTTTTGAAGATCCTCTAAGGCAGTATAAGGGACATATGCGGCGTACATTCAGGGAACCTCTTAGCGGGTACATCCTCAGGGGTCCGAGTATGACTTTCTCGGAAGGGAGCATGTCCCTCGAAGCCTCCCAAGCACCTTCACAACGCCCTGTTGCGCCTTGAGCCCCCTCCCTAATCCCATACATACCAGCCAAAACCCGAACCCCTAAACCCCTAGACCCCTACACCCCAAGACCCCTAGACCCCTAAGACCCCTAAGACCCCTAAGACCCCTAAGACCCCTAAGACCCCTAAACCCCTAAACCCCTAAACCCTAAACCTCACAAACCCCTAAAAGCGCAGGCCCTGCCAAACAGAGAGACCGCTCCCTGCGCCCGGACCACCAGCGTCCCGTGAAGCCGCGGAGCGAGCTTGGCCCAGTGGCCTTAAAATCGGGTTTATAGGGTTTAGGGTTTAGGGTTTAAAGGTTTAGGGTCAGCAGTCCTAGCCGTATAAAAGGGTTTGGAAAGGGCTCGGAGTTCAGAGGTTTCGATCCAACATAGGCCTGGAGGGTTCATTATAGGCTTATAGGGTTTTCAATAAAGGGCTTATATGGTTTCGGGCCTTTCAGTTTCGGGTTTGGGGTTTAGGGCTTTACGGAGTTTTAAATGAATGGATTGTAGGGTTAGGCTTTATGGGTATATGGTTGGCACAAAAAGGGTTTAGTGTTAAACCCCTCAGTGGTTGTTCTTCTTGTTGTGGACTTCAGGCTTTATCACACATGGGGCTTTGCAGCTAGGGAGTCGGGATTTGGGATGATGAGGTGGATGAAGGGTGTGTGTGCCTCTCTCTCTGTGTGTGTGTGTGTCTGTGTCTCTGTCTCTGTCTCTGTCTCTGTCTCTGTCTCTGTCTCTGTCTGTGTCTGTGTCTGTGTCTGTGTCTGTGTCTCTGTGTGTGTGTGTGTGTGTGTGCGAGTGTGTCTGAGTGAGTCTGAGTGTGTCTCTCTGTCTCCCCGTCTGTCTGTCTGCCTGCCTGTCTGTTTGTCTGTCTGTCTGTCTCTGTGTGTGTGTGTGTGCGCGTGTCTGTGTGTCTGTGTGTCTGTCTCTGTGTGTCTCTGTGTGTGTGTGTGTGCCTGCGTGCCTGCGTGTGCCTCTCTGTGTGTGCCTCTCTGTGTGTGTGTCTCTGTGTGTGTCTGTGTGTCTTTGTGTGCGCATCTGTGTGTCGCTGTGTGTGCGTCTGTGTGTCGCTGTGTGCGTGTCTGCGTGTCTGCGTCTCTGCGTCTCTGTGTGTGTGTGTGTGTCAGTCAGTCAGTCAGTCTCTTTTTCAAGAGTTTCATGATTGGCATTCCGGCTCATGGACTCCCACGCCAAGTCTATCAACCCTAATCGAAGCTGAGGCCCATCAGAACTCCTGGAGGCTTCTCTGCTGGGCGACATAAAGCAAGCTGGATGGGTGCTGGTGACCCGGGCCAAGATGGCATGTGTCAAGCATCGTTGGTGGTGTTTTGAGCGCTTGCCGTGTCATGGTAAGGTTTGAAGCTTGAAACAGGTCCTTTAAATTTGCTTCAGGCGCAATTGAGGCGCAATTGCTATGCATCGGCCAACGTTATTTGTACAGAGATTGGGGAACCCAAACCCAAAACCCTAAACCCCAAAGCCTAAACCCTAAGTCTGGCTTGAGATGGCTTCCAGTGGCTGCACCCGTGCCGAGGAGACTGATGACAAGGCCCACAGCGTCGCAACTTGCTCCTTGGCTCATGGCCTGTGTAGAGGGTGAAACGACCGTGGGCCGTGCACCCTAAACCCTAAACCCTAAACCCCACACCCCAAACCCCAAACCCCAAACCCTAAACCCTAAACCCTCTGGTACCCAACCGCTGCAGCATCGGAAGCTGAAGAGGCATATTGAGGTTCCAAGGTCCAGCTGGGCCTCCAGACAGTTTCGAAAGACGCCCAGTAGTAGCTTAAGAGGTTGAGGTCTCGGATGAGCAGGCAGACCTTGGTCAGTTCATACGAACACCTCCATCGCATGCTTGTGAGGGCTCCGTTCGAAATCTGCACCATGTCCAAAACAACCCCTAAGCACTAAACATGCGGAAACGAGCAGGGTTCAGGGCTTAGTGTGTTTAGCAGGCAACCCTGGAGCCCGAATGCCTCAGCTGAAATCGGATTTGCGGCAGTAGTTCCCAAAACCTGACCTTCCCGCCCAAACTCGACCGGTCGGTTTTTGGGCTTTCGGGTTTATAAGTGGTCGTATAGGGCTTATCGTGTTCATAGAGATTAGGGGTTAGGGCTTACCCCTAAACCCTAAACCCCAAACCCCCTAAACCCTAAACCCTAGGCTTAGGGCTTAGGGCCTCCTTTGAAAAGGCCCCCTCTCATTACAACAAAACAGGCACCGGATGGCTGCCGCTGCACGTGGCCGCAGCCCAGGGCCACCTGGACATCTGCCGAGCACTGCTTCGCCCCATGGCAGGGCGTTTATTTTTTGTTTTTAACTTTTAACCCCGAAGACTTGGGCCTTCAGGGTTTAGGGTTTAGGGTTTAGGACCGGCCCTGAACATGATGGCTGAAAATTCTGGCTGGTGCTCACATATCTGAAAATCATGATTCTTACAAGTGAAGGGGTTCCATGTAAGCAGTTTGGAGCTTAGGCTTTGGGGGCTTTGAAGGAGTCAGGGGTTCGGTGGGCCAAGTTTCCGGCAGCTTCCCGTGTTTTAGAGTTCGCACTTCAGAGACAGTTTTAAACACGTGCACTTGCCTGCTGCGCCCGATTGTGAGAGTCGCCAGCCCTTGCATGTTGGCTCAATCTCATGCCTGTGAGTTTTGGTTGAGACGGATAACACAGTTGTGTCTTAAGTGCAAAAGTTCTTGCAGAATCACCATATCCCCCTTGGGAATCATTTTTTATTTTATTGATATAACACCCAAGAAGATATTAAGCATATTTTTTAATTACGGTTCTGAGGGGAGTATAGATCACAGGTTCATACCGCATATCAGTCAATACGCAGCATCAACGTCAGAGGGGCGAGTTTTTGGAAGGAACAGGCAGGCTTTGTACCCGAGGCAGTGGAAGTAAGGCAGCTAGCAAGCCTCGTAGGGGCTCAAACTTAGGGTTTAGGGGTTAGGGTTTAGGGTTACTACAGGAGCCCTGAAGCAAAAAAAGGTTTAGGGTTAGGGTTTGGGGTTTGGGGTTTAGGGTTTAGGGTTTAGGGTTTAGGGTTTAGGGAGTCAATCTCTCCAAAATGCCTGCAGAAGCCGCCGATGCAGAGACGGTGCCTCGCGGAGCCCGCCGCTGGTGGCCTGATGTGATGTCACCATCGCTTGCCGCAACAGTGAAGCAAGAAGCTTGCACCAGCTACCCGTGGAAGCCTGCGAGGAATACGATGTCAATGTGGCAAATGAACTTTCCGCAGACGTTGCCAGGTGGACATCGGAACCCCATTTGTGCATTAGGGGAGTGCGGCGACCCCATGTGCCCCACATTTCGTCCCAAGCATCCAGAAGTTCGAGAGGCTGTGGAGAAATGCATCATGGAAAAGTGCCTGGAGAACTTCCAGCCAGGTAAATTGCAGACATACGCTTCGATAGGCTGCGGCTTGCTAGGCCAGGATTGGATCATTCTTGAGCAAATGCGGCGCCAGCAGATGCTTCCGCGTCGGGCAATTTTCGTGGAGCTGCGCACAGCGAAGCCTGTGATGACGTGTGAAGGTGCTGAATTTCCAAGGATGAGCAAAGGTGGTGGCATGAATCTACGCCAAACAGGGTTTTGCGGCGACTTGGGTCCTGATTTTGGTTTCAGTGCCGTGTTGCAGTTCAACAAGCCCGCTGGCAATTCCAGTAGCTTCCTCTTCGATTTCTCGGACGATGCTCGGCGAGATGTCATCTATGCAGAAGTCGGTGGCACTGATGCGATTGGCCACATGACTTTTGGTTGCATCATTGGCGACCAAGCCCATCGTCTGCCTGTGGAGGATTGCTGGGAGCCAGGTGAACAGGCGCACACCTTCTTGTTCACAATCAGTGCTGTTGGGATGTACACAATCTACAAGGATGGACAGGCGATCGCGAGATCCTATGGGCCGCCCCCTCAGTCGTCTCGAAGACGTCATCTCTACGTCGGGCAGTGTGCTCCGAACAAGGGAGGTCACCATAGCTTTGGCGGCCGCATCCAGAAGATTAAGGTTTGGGATCAGGAAGTTGACACACTGGCAACAGATATGATGTACAGCCACGAGGTAGCTAACGCCCATCAGACCATCGCCCAGTGGTATATGGGTGAAATGGACGTGTGGTCCTTCAGTAGCTTAGCAGCTTACGCGGCTGCCTGTGAAAAGGACGCCCGATTTGCGGCAGATCTGCTTCTGAAAGTTGATGTTCCTTAGGGGTACTTGGAAATGATTTTTAGTTCTTGGTTACTACAATTCCTAAGGAACAGCTAAATTTAACAGAATTTTGCTAGGGGTGCCAAGTTCTCAGTATAGGTTCATGATGAGCTAGATGGCTACGATGACTTCGTTTGCAAGGCCTTGGGGCCCAATGGCTTGGCGCTGACGTTGGGTGGTCCTGGGAAAAGCTGGCGACGGTCTGGGACAGGCTGGATACCTGTGGACACGAAGTGTGCTGTTCTGGATTCTGCAGAAGAAAGGAGTCTCGTGCCCTGGGCATTCATGGGTGCGTTCCCAGGACATCAGGACAGGCAGCACTTCTTCACGAAGGCATTTCAGGCACAGCGCGCTGACTGTTCTGAAAGTCGGCGGCCGCCTCGCCAGAGAAGGCCCCGGAGATTCAAAGCGGCACCTCGAGCTGGCAGAGCACGGGCTCGCCGAACGGGAGCTGCAGATCCACAACACTCGGGAAGCTGGTACGGCATGACCGATGCTTAGTAGTAGAGTAGGTAACCTTTAACCTTTTTGGGGAAATATCGTCCCCTTATAATCCCAAAGGTTAACCCTTAGCTCCCCTACATACTGGACAACTAAGGATGAAGTTGCAAACCCCGATGAGGTCTCTGTCTTGGGGCTCCTGGACGAACTGCAGCAACGAGCCCCGGGCTTCCAAGGCCAGCTGAGCAATTTTGAGTTTGGAGCGCATCTGGGTCAGATTGGAGATCATTTTCCTTCTTTCTGAATACTTCTAAACCCAACAAGGAACAAAATGATATTTGTTTTAAAATGGGTGCCCCCCAACAAAAATGGTGCAGGAGCGATCTCCTCCTGGACATTGACGCTGCAGAAGAGGATGCCCCCGCAGACGAAGACCTTCCTGGCCTTGTCATCTACGGAGCGAGGTGACGCTGTCAGCCTTTAGCGTTTAGGGTTTAGGGTCTAGGGTTTAGGGTTTAGGGTTTTGTTTCACCCGTTGTGAAGATCCAGGCACCGAAGCTTATGCCGAGACAAGAAAAAAGGTGCCACTGGCTTGGCTCAACCTCAAAGCCTGCCGCGCCATAGCTCAGAACTCGAGGTTTTGTTCGGCATTTCTCCGGGTTCCAGCACCCGCAACCAACGGGGCCCTAAGCCCTGAAGCCTGAACACTCTCGGCCTTCTTGTATAGGGAATTCAAGAATATTCAAGACGTCCTTTTCTTTGGGGATCAAGTATGAACCCTAAAACGTGTTTATGGTTTATATGACCTGAAAACAGGGAACATAGAAGTATAGGGTAGACGACCTCGATTTTTTTCGAGCTCATGTGGTCCCCGAGACCTCTCTTGTAGAGTTCAGCAGGATTTGGGGTTCATGTGGGTTTAGGGTTTAGGGTTCATTTGGGTTTGGGGTTTGGGGTTCAGGGTTAGGGTTTAGGGTTCATTTGGGTTTTGGGTTTTGGGTTTAGGGTTTAGGGTTTAGGGTTTAGGGTTTAGGGAGCTTCACCGACCCCCGCCTTCGGCCCCAGGCCGAAAGGCAGCGGTGAACCCAGCGTCGGCTTCTGGTCTTCCAAGAAGCAATATTTCTTTGTCCTAACCCCCCAAACCCTAAACCCTAAAGGCCCTAAACCCGTGTGTTCTGTTTTATCCGGCATCTTTGGCATCTTAAGCTGTCGGGACCGTCTCTGGAATTTGGCTAGGGGATTGTGCTTTTTTCTCGGGGGGGGGGCGGGGCTGGTAGGGTCGTCGCCCCAGCTGACAGGAGAGGAGACTGGGTTGAGAACGGGTTTGGGGTTTAGGGTTTCGGGGTTGAGAGCGGGTTTGGGGGTGAGCGTTTGAGGTTGGAGGTTTGTTGGCGTAGGCGGTGTCTCCGACTTCTTGGCACGAAGGGGTCATTAGGGTGGTTGGTTGCATGCCGCAGTTGGGGCGGGGATGAGATGAGGAACCGAACAGCTTGACCCTATATGACCCTAAACCCCTTCAACCCTATGATCCTAAAACCCAGCAACCCTACAACCCCCAAACCCTATAACCTCATAACCCTACAACCCTACAACCCCCAAACCCTATAACCCTATAACCCTACAACCCTACAACCCCTAAAAGCCCTACAACCCTAAAACCCGATAACCCTGAAAGCCCAATAACCCTAGTAGAACCTTATAACCCTCCAACCCTCTAACCATCTAACCCTACGAGGACTCCCTGGGTGGCATCTCCCCACTCTCTCTGGCGTGCTTGTCTGGCCAACCCAGCTTGGTGCAGCTGCTCCTCTGCGCAGGCGCATCGATGGATGGCCCCGAAGGCCACGGAGGGGCCCCGCTTCTTAGGGATTCTTGGGAACCTCTTTTTTTTTAAGGTTTTGAGGTACTGCAAGTCCTAAGGAGCAGCTAAGATCAGAATTTTTGCTAGGGTTCCAAGTTCAGTATAGGCTCCTGCATGCTGCGTACAAGAACTTTGCTGGGATTTGCGAGATCTTGCTTGATTCCGGCGCCAGCCCCCACGTAGCATTCACGCGCAGCGGCCATATTCAACTGGAGAGCCCAGCGATAACGCCGCAACACGAGGACCACTGGCACCAAGTACTTTGTGAGCCCAGCCAGGGAGGGTGCTCGCTGCTGCAGCTCCGCACAGAAGCTTACTTAGCTAAGAGTTGAACTTTAAACTTTTTAGATTTCCTTCTTTAGTAGGAATAGTAAAGCTTAACCTTTTTCTCCCCTTGGTTGTTGGAGAAGTAAGGAAGGAGTCACTGCCCTGCATCTGGCAGCTTGGCACGGCAGTGTCCGGATCTGTTCCTAGGCGTTTCCCAAGCATCACGTGTTGTTTATTGTTTTTGCATGCAGTGTACACATGAAACAATGTACTGTGCGAAGCTAGAACAGTCATCTGTAGAACATATCGGTTTTTCTGTATCTATCTATCCATCTATCTATCTGTATATAATGTTGCTTTCCTTAAGACATCAAAACCTGCTTTTTGAGTTTTTGAGTAGAAAGCCCCTTATAGAATCCTTAAGTAACCTACAGGACAGCAGGTTGTTTGGGGGGGGTTCTTAAGGTTTCTCTACTATACCCTCTCTTCGTTCAAAACCTGCCTTCAACCCTAAACCCTGAACCCCAAACCCTAAACCCTAAACCGCGCAGGCTGGGCCCTGATCCAGGCCTCAGCGCGGCCCGACGCCAGGGACCGACTGCACCGCTCCGCGCTGATGCTGTCGGCCGAGAGGGGCCACCTGGAGGTGGGGTTTAGGATTTAGGGTTCAGGGTTTAGGGTTTAGGGGCAGAAAGGTTTAGGGTATAGGGTTCAGGGTTTAGGGTTTAGGGTTCAGGGTTTAGGGTTTAGGGTTTAGGGGCAAAAGGGTTTAGGGTTTAGGGTTGGTCTCTGGTGCCCGAGCGCAGCCCTCAGTCAAGGCATGAGGCAGCTCCCAGATTCGTTTAGGGGCAAAAGGGTTTAGGGTTTCGGATTTAGGGTTTAGGGTGTAGGGTTTAGGGTTTTGGGTTTAGGGTTTAGGGTCTCGGGCTATGACGACTTGGTAGCCCAGTGGTACCCTTTACTTTTTTTTTGGTTTCTGGCTTCCCGTATAAAATAGCCAAACCAAAAAAAGGGGTGCCCTTATCAGAATATGGCTACTGGTCTAACATGACGAGTATGGTTCCGGCCATGAATGTCACTGTGAGAGCTTTGTCGTTTGCGACTGTGGCTATGCTCATTGTGATCAAGACTTCACGACTAAGCATGTGTGTTTTGAAGCTTTTGGGTTGTTCCAGTGTCCTGCAGACCCGAAACCCTAAGCCCTAAACCCTAAACCCTAAACTCTAAGCCCTAAACCCTAAACCCCCGGTTTGTTGAGATTTGTGTTTGCCGGCTGTCGTTGGGGGAGTCTTGGGGGGCCTTGGGTGTTTATAAGGCCTTTGAGAGGGGTGCCTCCTTGCAGGTGGTGCGGCTTCTGCTGGAGCCGCGGGCCTGCACTTTAGGGTTTAGGGTTTAGGGTTCAGGGTTCAGGGTTCAGGGTTTAGGGTTTAGGGTTTAGGGTTTAGGGCATTTGAACCTCGGAGTTCAATCCTTGGGTTTGACAGCTTCATCGGGAGGCTTTGAGGCTCGGCATGTTTTACTGGCCGCCCTCCTTCTCAAGTGGAGCCTTCCGCATTTCTAGTAGCCGCAAACCTTCTGGCACCCTACTACTCCGAGCTCTTTACGATCGCTACTTCCTACCAGCTTCCAAGCCGCTGCACCAAGCTGAAGAAGCCGTCGATGATTCTTGAAGCCGAACACCCCAACCGCAACCTTCAACCTGCAGACTCGGGCCACGCGTTTTGGGGCCTTATCTGCTTTGGGGCTTTGGGTCTTTAGGACCTTCAACCTCTGTCGGATCTTTTTTCTCAAACGTTTAAAGGGGAATTCCGAAAATAGGGGCACCCCTTGTATTATTAACCCCTGATATACCCCCCCAAATAATCTAGAATCCTTTCAAATGAACCACCCAAGAAAGGGTACCCTATTTTCGGAAACCTGTTTGTGGGTCTCGGGGAGTTTCTTGCTCGCCTCCGAACGGAAACCCTAAACCCTAAACCCGAAACCCGAAACCCCAAACCCTAAACTGTAGAAATGGCGCAGCCCAAGGCAGCGGGCACACCTCCATGCCAGCACCTTGTCCTGAGGAGTACAAGGAGGGACCCGGTTTAGGGTTTAGGGTTTAGGGTTTAGGGTTTAGGGTTTAGGGTTTAGGGTTTAGGGTTTAGGGTTTAGGGTTTAGAAGGGACCCTTAATCTTATTCCCCTCTAGAACTCTTATGTCTACCTTATATAGTCCCGGTCCCTTGATTGTCCAGTTTCGAAAGAACCATCGCGCGCGTTTTGGGGCAGTGCTCCCAGTTCTGCCCCCCCCCCCCCTCCTTTTTTAGTTTAGTTTTTTTTTTTTTTTTTTTTTTTTTTGGGGGGGGGGGGGGGTGGGGTGCAGGGGTGCTAAGTTCGGAGAAAGGCCCCCTAAACCCTATGAACCCTTTAAACCCGAATGTTGTTGAAAGGGCTTAGGATGTTACAGTGCTTGTAGCAAGAGGCTTGTAGGGGCTCGTAGGCTTTAGGGTTGTGCTTGGGCATTTAGGCAATACATGAAGCTTTAAGAGCCCCAAGCCCCTACTCTGTTGTAGGTTCTTAGTATCAAGAACCTTTGTAGGGTTCTTAGGTCTCTTACAAGAGCGGTAGGTTTTGTATTCTGAAAAAGGAGGACTTCAGGGACACCCTCCCCCAACCCTAAGCCTAAACCGGGAGCTCACCCCAAACATCCTGGCCGAGAGTGAAGGCCGAAACCTTTAACTTCAAGGCTGCGCAATCCGAAGCCCTAGCTATGTACCTCGGCTGTTCCCCCCTATTCTAACAGTCCGGATTATAGTAACCCCTATTATACCCCCTATTAAGGACTGTTAGTATACGGGGGAACATCCCAACATGTACTCGTGAGGGGAAGTCGCCTTCAATTTTGGTCTATACAGTTCCTCGTTGCCATGCTTCTTCCGTAAATGGTTGAGCCTTGCGCTTTCCGAGTGTGTTTCCTTTTGTGAGAAGAGCGAAACAACATGACAAAAACCATTGCTGTAAATTCCCTGGCGGCTGCAAACTCTCCATTCCAGGTCTCCAGGGTCACACTGCAGCCTCCCTCGCTGCTCGGGCCAACCAGATTGCCACCATCCAGCTTCTGCTTGAGGGCAAGGCCAGGCCAAGGGCTTAGAGCTTAGGGTTTAGGGTTTAAGGGGTGTGTTTCGGACAAGGCTTTGAAGTGTTTGGGGTTTGATTCAGACTGTTAGTAGTTCTTGTGTTTATAACGACGCCCAGTAAGGCCTTACGAACCCAACCCACGTAAAGCTCAGGCTGACGTGGACTACGTCGCCTGGTTCGGGGCACCCACAATGCTGCACATTGCAGCGTACTGGCGCTACCAGGGCCTGGCGTCCGCGCTGCTGTTGCAAAAGGCCTTTTTGTGAAGCAAGGGGTCCTCTTGCATGTAGCTCCAGGACAAAAGTTGATGTATCCATCCAATTATCTAACGTAAACCTTACCTACCGATGCTGGTGTCCATGCACTTCTTCTAGATCATGATTTGTGTATAATAGATTGGAGAGAGAGGGAGAGGGTGCCTGCCGACTGCCGAAGCCCAACAAACATGATGGAAACAGCAATGTCTCAACCACTCAACGCCTGCTCGAATACCACAGGGATACCCTGCAGCTGGCCCCGCCAAAAACAGCCCCAGACAGGTCGAAAAGAAAGCCCCATGATACAAAACCCTACGAAGCCCTGGGAGCACCACAAGCTCATGAATGTCCTAAAAACACAACTCTAACGCCACATCAAGCAGCTTGCAAAAGCATAAGCCATCAACCGCAAACCCTGTTGGCACTTCCGGTGATCAGTTGCTCCTGACCCTTTTTGTGATCTGACCTGTAGATTGTTCGCGGCCAGCTGACAATTTCAAAAGGCTACAGATGGACCGTTGTTGCAAACCCCGCAAGTGTGGCACCTTGATCCCTGATAACCTACCCTAAGAATCCAAGACCTGCCTTTTTTTGTGAGCTCTGAACATCAGACCCCTTTCCCAAAAAATATGGTAGGCCTTGGGTTTTTGAAACCCTAAACCCTACACCCTTAGAGACCCTTAGAGGTGAACCTTGATGTCGGGAGGCGAACACGGAGGCAGCGCTGACCCCCGGTGGGGTGCGGCCCCTGATGGTCGCCGCGGAAAGGGGCTCGGTGGAGGCCTCCGAAACAGGGCTCACAGAGAGAGCTCATGGGGGTTTTAGGGTTTAGGGTTTAGGGTTTGTAGGGTTTAGGGTTTAGGGTTGGATTTCTGGGGGGCTTTGCCCTAAACCGGCCCTACACCCCAAACCCTAAACCCTTACAACTCATCTGAGGTGTGTCAGCTCCTGTTGGGGTTCCGGGCGGAGGTCGGTGCTGTGGACGACGTGGGCGAAAGCGCCTGGCAGAAGGCCACTCACTGGTGTTGGTCTCTTAGTCTGGTTCAGAAGGGCTTGGGGTTTAACCCCTCCCCCCAATATTAAACCCCGCCTATACACCCTAACGTTAAATACATGTTAGAGTATATGGGGGGGGTTTAATATGAGGGGGTAGGGGGGTTTAGTATTAGGGGGAGGGGATTATAAGGTTTCGGGCTGATTATGGTATTTTTTTCTACCGTTGATTGTCGACATGCTGGCACATTCCCGGCCTGTTCTCGACAGTTGCTGACAGACAGGAAGGGAAGTACCTGATCACACTTTTAGATACTCTTCTGAACAGCCTGGCCAATCTAGCACGCCTTTCGGAACCCTAAACCCTAAACCCCAAACCCCAAACTCCAAACCCTTCTTTTTTCAAGCAGCTCGAAGCTATGGCCTAAGACTATTACTTGGCAGCCCGTTTTACTGTGGTTATTATACAGTAGCCAAACCCCAAAAAGAGTGCCCTTTTTTCTTATACTATGGCCACTGGGCTACCAATTACAAGTGTCTAAGACGTAGCAGCAGTGATCTGCAAGACGCCGAAGTAGGGTTAAGAGCCATGCCAGGTTCGCACCACTTTCGGTGGTGACTCGCTCTTGCGTTGTCCTTCCTCCCTCAACCCCGCCTTGATCATCACTGCCTCGCATAGGTGTTGCAAGAGCCCCAAAGAAGGCTAATTGGAGTGCCTTCTAAGCCCTACAACCCTAAACCCGACATCCTAAGCCCTTTGTGAACCCAGACTCCTGAAGTCAGCTAGGAACCCTTCAACCCTAAACCCTACCAGGCCGTCCTCGCTGGCCACCTCAAGATCAGTCACCTCCTGGCCGCATGCGGCGCAGCCTCTGCGCTGACCGTGGGCCCGCCCAGCGATCCCAGCCGAAGCCCTGAACCCGCCGGATAGCGGGTTAGGGGTTTAGGGGTTTGAGGGTTTGCTCGGAGGGTTTAGGGGTTTAGGGTTAGGGCTTTGGGGTTTATGGGATTATAGGGTTTGGGGTTAGTTTTTGGTTGTAGGAAATGCTATGATGCTGGCAGCATGGTAAACAGGGTGTATTGACAAGGGCGTGTGTTTTCTGTGACTTTCTGGTCGATGGTGTAGGGCTGAGGCCCCTGCATGAGGCTGTACGCTGTACAAGGATGCTGAATTATGCTATAGTTCGATTCCCGAACGTTTGGCATCTGCAATGGTGTGGCCATTCTCATGCCTGCTGGCTGAGAAGACACAAGGCCCCTGGACTGCTCCGGAACCCGGAGCATATTCTCTAGAATTTTCTTGGGGCAACATCTATCTGGAGTTCCGTAAGATGTACCTAGAGACAAACAGGGCAATCGATCCGGTCATGAGACAAGTTCCCTTGTGGTAGGCTTTGTGTGTCTCTAGGTAAAGTTTTTTGGGATTGCCGTCCGTTCTTTCCTCGATAGCCACTGTCTTTGGAGACCTTCCGAAACCCTAAACCCTGAACCCTAAAACCTTAAACCCTAAACCCTGGATTTGCAAGCAGAACTTGATTCCGGAAGGCCCTTCACCAGCATGTCGGGGGTTCTGATCGAAAGGAGACTGCAAAAGAGGTGAGAGGAGATAGCGTGATTGCACTTGTTTGTGTTTCGTTACATAATGTATGTATATATATATATGTATTTGTTTACCCGACTTGAAGAAATCACGTGCGCAACCCGTCATCAAGTCGTCTAAAGAGAGTTGGTACGAGCACGGCACCACCATGCAAAGTTAGAGACAACGCCCCCGCTCCGAACCCGGCTGAAAACACGAGCCCTGGGTTCGGACCTGCGCAAAGGGCTACACTGCTACATGTGAGCGTTTCAAAGTGGACGGTTGTCGTGATGTGCCGCTGCTGCTGAAGAAAGAGTCGCGCTAACCCTGGCCAAGCCTTCACAAGGGTTTGAGCTCTGTGTGCCTTCACCATCACGTACATTCACGCACCCCTAGGGCTTAAGGCAGGCATGCTGGCCAACGAAGCTGAATGCCTTGCACCAAGTCGGTCACCTAAGGATGCTTTGGGAATCATTTCCGGGAGCGTGAACTTGAAGGAGTTCTCGGACTACCGCTTGAACTTCGAGGGCGTGAAGCGCACCCTGATGCTTTGCTAGCTCATCCCAAACCCTAATCCTTTCTTGTGTTACGCCTCGACTTCAGTCCGGACAAAACTGGGTTGTGCTTTGAGAGAATTTTCAATGCCCCTTCTTTCCTTGTAGGGGAACCTATTCACAACTAAAGTCAAAGGGTTCAAAGCACAACCCTGAACCCTAAACCCTAAACCCTAAACCCTAAACCCTAAACCCTAAACCCTAAACCCAACTCAGAAAAAGGTATCTTGGAAGGCCTCCGGAAGGCAAAGGGCGGAGGGCACGTCGAGCTGCCCCTCGGCCTTGGCCAGCCCGAAAGTTTAACAAGACATTAGGGTTTAGGGTTTAGGGTTTAGGGTTTAGGGTTTAGGGTTTAGGGTTTAGGGGTAGCCCTTCTTGGGGTTGGATCAGAGTCTGCGGTGGGAATAGTAGGGGTTCCCCCTGTGTTGGGACATGGCATCACCGGGTCGAGGCCTTGTAAGCCGCCTGTAAGGCTACTAGCCCTGAATCAAAAGTAGGGTCCTTCTTGTCGTCCCTAAAAGAGTTTATGGTTCATATTACCTCAATAGGGATTATAGTAGTACAGGGTATGTGGCCCCAATTTTGGGGTTCATTGCTCCCAAGGTTGAGCCCAAAAACCCCAAAAAACAAGGGGTTTCGGAGGTTTGGAGGGGGCGCGCGCGCAAGTTGCGCCCTTTGACTGGGGCGTTTGGGCGATATGGACACTGTATGAGGCAACCTAAACCTTAGCCGGACCAACTCTTTGTTAGAATTGTTGTGAAATTTGCCAACCAATGTGCCTGGTCGGAGTCCTTCCTGAATTTGAAAGGAAACTATCAGGACTCGCGTCGCGTTGGGCTGTACCGTAAGAACCCCAAACCTACAATTTTTGTGGGCTACGCAAATCACTTGTACGATTCTTAGGAAGCCTGGGAAAAAGTAAGCTTACCTTTTGTGGGTTACTAGAATCATAGGCCCTTATATTGGATTCTTGGGCAACCCAGGAAAAAGTAGGTGTTGGATTCTTGCGGCAGGTAGGCTTGGGTTATTATGGTTGCCTCGAGGCCTGCGAGCTGGCTCGATGTGCTGATGTATGGTGTGCCGTGGCAATGCTTTAGGGTTTAGGGTTTAGGGTTCAGGGTTTAGGGTTCAGGGTTCAGGGTTTAGGGTTTAGGGTTTAGGGGTAGGGAATGAGGGAATGAGATAATATAAGCCCTTAAAGGGCCCTGATTCCCTCATTCCCTGCTAACCAACAGTAAGAACCTTGCGGTCCAAACGAACCCGGGGGTCATATGCCCTATACTACCTGAAATACCGATGAATGTATATGAACCATGAACCCTTGCAGGGTTCATCTGGCCCTCAAGGATGGGATGCTTGAAGGTTACTGCTTCAGAGTGTATCGGCAGCAGCTTTTCACCTCGAACTTTTGTGTGTTCATGCGGCAGGGTTGTGGCCGCGGGGTCCGGCAACATTACGTTGAAGTACGTGGGCTTGATGTGCCTGAGGCTTTCTGATAATTTGCTGTATCTCTTTCCTGGCAGCGGAGGGTGCAACAGGAACCCTGAACCCACTTGCCGTTCAGGTCAATGAGAGCTACGATACAGCACACACCTCCGCAACGTCGCAAGACCGCCGCTGTGGCAAAGGCCCGTCATCAAAACACTTTCATATTCGGAGCATGTGCTTTTATATTGCAGTGTACAGATGAAGTTCATTTACGCAAAAGAGGCTGGGATAACCTCGGCACTATCATAATACCGGGATGCACTAATTAGGCGGGATATACACCTTTGATGCGATTACCGTGGCCAATAGTAGGCCTAGCAAAACATTCTCGAGCATAATGGCCAAACTTGCTGTAGTGTCTACGCACCCCTGTTGTAGTGCTAACGTTTTCATGTAGCATTGTGATGACGCGTCATAGGGCGCCCCTAGCGCACTAAAACTATTGAACGCGAGGTATCCTAGTGATACTACCTTGCGGGCACAACTTTTGTTAGGTCAGATTGCGTCGGTATGCTTGCGACTTACGTCTGAACCCACATCAGTGGTTTCGGGAACACTTTACGTCCTGAGAGCTTCACTTAAAGAAGCGAGTCGACCGCTCATAGATACGAGCCGACGACGACAACACCCTCGGCATCACATATATGTGCTGAACTTCGCCCTGAAGTGCATCCTATCCTACCTCCCTCCACCACCCAAGTAAGACCCAAGGACGGAGTCATTGCGGGTTGTTTGGCCTCATTTTGGGTAGGGGGTAGTTAAGGCAGCCCATGCGCAAGTCATGGGTTGGCATGTTCCCCCCTATACTACCAGTCCTTAATGGGGAAAATAGTAGGGGGTACTATAATCCCTATGAACATCCCAAGTCATGGGTTCTACATGTCCGAACCAGTCCCTGTGGGTCTCCACCTGTTGCAAGTAGGGCTACATGGAGTTGCACACTAGGGCACTTAAGGGGCGTTTTAGTGGGCTATCAGTACAGCTGAAATTGGGTTATAACTACCATGAACCAAGCAGAAGCGTGGAAATCTTCTGTTCTCACTCTTGCCCCTCTGGGGTCTTCGGTCAAGAGGCTTCGAGGGGAAGGATTTAACAGTTGCATACAATGTCTCGGTAGCCCCTTGAAGCATGTTTGGATTTTTCTTATTGGGTCTAAGAGGATCATGTTCAGGATTTTTTCAGAGGGATTTAGTAGGGCCATCCTGGATGTTGATGAGGTCCTACTGGCACTGTATGCGTAGATTACCCTGCTCGAAGACACTGTCCCCGCAAAAGCCTCAAGTCACTTTTTGGGAGGCTCACGTGCTGCCTGCCGTGCCGGGAGCTGCTTTGGAATGACATGGAAAGACTTTAGGGTTTAGGGTTAGGGTTTAGGGTTCCGGGTTTAGGGTTTAGGGTTTCGTCCCTGGCAGGCAGTGCAGCAGTCCTAGCCGTAAAAAAGGGTTTAGGGTTTAGGGACCCCTCGCCAATCCCCCAAACCTTATTCGGGTTCAGGGTTTAGGGTTCCTAGTCTTGAAGCCTGCTGCAACGAGACGTTTATGCAACACCACCCAAAAAAGATTTATGAACAACTCGTGTCTCTTGTGTGGGGATCTGACCTGAGTAGGTTTTGGTGGATTTGACTGAACTCTCAACGCCTAATCCCTCAAAACTCCGAACCCTAAACCCTAAACCTAAACTCCCATTCACTTCGCCAGAAAGGCAGACTCAAAGAAGTTGTTTTTCTCGTTTAGTTGGGTTTAGGGTTTGATATTAAGGGTGTTCCCCAAGAAGGCCTACCTTTATGTTCCCCAAGCGACTTTCCTCCTTACTATAGGCAACCCCCCCAAAGGGGGCACAACCCTATTCTCGGAAACCTCCTCATGAGCCTGGCAAACCCAGACCCACCAAGTACCCCTTGTGATAACCTAAATACCACCCCCGCCCCCCCCCCCCCCCACCTTCCAGGTACACTTAGGCCCTGATGAAGGGGTACTTGGGGAGGGGGGGGGGGGTCCAGGAAAACCCTCGACCCTAAACCCCAAGAACCACAAGAACCCTCCATGCCAGCTCGTGAGGCCCTAAAGCCTAAAGGCCTAAGGCCTAAAGCCTAAAGCCTAAAGCCTAAAGCCTAAAGCCTAAAGCCTAAAGCCTGAACCTTAATCCGTAAACCCCGACCGGACTTTCCCTTTTCATCCAAGTTAAGATCCGGAGCGACAAACCCGACGAGGCCGGCTATCTAGGATTTTTCGGGGTTTAGGGTGTAGGGTTTAGGGTTTAGGGTTTAGGGTTTAGGGCTGTTGCGAAGTAGCCGCGCCCTGCAGTCATGAGTGCTGTGGTGTGGGGACGACCTGGGCAGTAAGGGCAGCAGTCGAGTCCCTCGTAAAGAAAGGTGAGGCTGTTGCAAAGAAGGATTTTTAAGACAAACCCAAGAGGGTTTAAGAGGGTTTCGGTGGTATATATTCCATAGAAAAGCTCCTTCTGGATGAAGACAGGAGAGGTGACCTTTCTAGACAGCTCCCCCCAAGCAAATGGGCCCCCCTACAGATGACTAGGACTCAGAGGCCTGATTCCCTCTTTTTTGGGTTCAGGGTTCTCTGATAAGCCCCGTTAAGCCCACAAGGGTACCCTTTCGCTTCCTCGGTTCCTCGTGGGTCAAGATGATTGGGATGCTTTGAGTTAAAAAAGGGCCAGGCGGGCGAAGTCGTGTCTCCTAAGCCCTACACCTACAAACCCCTCAACCCCCATGTGTGGGAAAGAGGGACTTCTAGCAAACGGGTGCTTCGCATGAAGCTCAAAGTATTTGGCCCAAGCCTGCTGTGCTCGGGGGACATTTTGGTATTTTCCCTTATCGGGCTTAAGAGGACTATACTTAGGAATATTTTAATATTTTAATATTTTAATAGTCTTAAGAGGACTATACTTAGGAACATTTTAATATTTTTCAGAGGCCTTTAAGGGCCATCCTACTTTGTCGTAGGTGAACCTTCCCAGTGGCTACAGCAGCACTAGGTGAACGCGCTGTCCCCTTCGATCTTGCGCGAGAAGATCCTAGATGTCCTGCTGCCTGGCTAGCCTGTGAGTGCTCAACATCTGAGTTTGTCAGTTCGGTTAGGGGGTTTTGGGTTTTGGTGTTTAGGGTTTAGGGTTTAGGGTCTAGTTTTTGGCAAGACGGCCACTCCTAAATTCTCCCGAGCTCTTACTGCCGCACTGTGGAGGCTGGATGTTGGGGACGTGGAGCTCGAATGCAGGAGAGGCTGTTGGTCTCCTTATCCTAAACCCTAAACCCTAAACCCTGTTGTTGCTGTTTGCCTAAATGGCCGAACCCTTTCGGTCGGGTGGTCGGCTATGTTGGGCTCTATGGACGCAGGGCAGGTTTCGACAGCGTTGGGTTTTCGTTTTGTTGTAACGGCTTTGGGGTTTTAGGGTTGTGAGCGAGGTCGGAAGCGCTGTGAGGAGGTTTAACGGGGCGGCTCATCGAAGCCTAAGCCATGTTACGTCCTTAAGGTGGTGACAGGAGCCAGCATTCAGCGCTTCTTCTCTCTTGCGTTGTTGCGTGGCACTAGCTGGGTGGAGGATGCTGCTGCCACCTACTCTCAAACTCGGCCGCGCCATAGCAACAACAAATCAACAAATGGATGTCTCATACAGAACAAAGCTCTTACAGTGCTCTTAATATTTTGTAGATTCCTGAAGAAAAGCAGGCGACGTGGTTCATGATGCGGTGATGCCGTCATACCATCAAGTTTCTGTAGCGCAGTCCCGATGCCAACTCCCGACCTGCCCATGCCGACTCCAATGGTTGAAGTTCACCCAGCTCCGGTTGCTGCCACAACTGTTTATCAGATCTCTGAGATGCTTGGCTGCAGAACGCTCACGGATGTTGTGACGGTGCGGTGGGGTCTGTAGATACAGTTTTTTTTGCTTACTATTGGTTGAGGGTCGGCAGCCGTCTTGGACACAGATCGCAGCCCTAAACCTTATCTCTGAGCACAGGAAGTTTCAGCGGGTCGTGGACCAGATCGTGCCTGATCTGCAGGGATTTCAGGCTTAGGCTCGCAGGCTTCGTGCTTTGTAGAGCAAGTACAGTTTCAACAAGGCGAAGACGTAAACCCATTGCAAGAGCGGATATATACTGACACAGTGGGATTAGACCTCACCTCCCACTCACCCGGCCCAAGGCCAACAATATTCCTGGCGGCTCAGGGTAGGGTTGGGGCTTATAGGGTTTCGGGTCAGCGTTTAGGGCGGTTTAGGGTTTGAGGGTCAAATTGTTTGCCCAGCAGTGTTCAAACAGGCCTTTATGCAAAAGGGTTCGACGAATCCTAAGCCTCAGCTGGGCGTGTGTTCATACTTTGAAACCCAAACTTCACAAACCCTAAACCCTAAACCAGCTTGATCCCCTAGTTTAGGGTTTAAGGTTCAGAAGGGCCGACGGCTCAAGTCCGGATGCAAAAGGGCTTAGGTCCCAGTTGCAAAAGGGATTGGGATTTGGGGTTTGGGGTTTAGGGTTAATTCCTCTACATTGGTCCTGAATTGGCCCTAACCTTGATGAGCGAGAAGATTTTGCTGAACTCATGGCGAGCTCGTGACCCGGATATGCCTGAAAGACGACTTCGTACGGCAACTGGACAGCGACGAGTGCTGACAAGAGGTGAGAACCAGGAGCTTACGCAAACTGGGTGATCGAATTAAAGCCTGCTGTTGAGGCTAGCTAAGATATGAACTCGGGTACCCGGGGGCGGAGTTACACCATACGAGGAGTAGGCCCCTAAACCCTATTCTTCGAAAACCCGGGGTTGGTGAACAGGTCCAAGCCATCTTGGGGTGTCTGGCTCAATTCAGCTTCAAACAGATCTTCGGTCATAAACTGACCAAACCTAAACCCTAAACCCTAAACCCTAAACCCTAAACCCTAAACCCTAAACAAAGATCCCAAGGTGCAGCAGCACCTGCTGGAGCTGGCGGAGTCCTGGTTGTCAGCGATCCTTTTGGGTTTAGGGCGCAGGGGTCTACGGTTACTATGAGGCCTCGGTGGTTCAGGGTTTAGGGTTTAGGGTTTAGGGTTTAGGGTTTAGGGCTTAGGGCCAGTGGCAAAAGGGTGTCGAGCCCAGTCACTTATGCATTGCGGGGTGTTTCTTGAAGCTTGACGGATCTGGCTTTAGAGAAGGGTCGGGGTCACCATACTATAAACCTAAACTTTATCACCAGAAAGTCGAGCCAAGGAAGTGGACTCTTTTTCGAAGCAACAACCGAATCTGAAGCCACAATCTGGGGGCAGCAAGGGCAGCAAGGAGCACCAGGGCTAGACTCAAGACAGGGTTCCCGAAAAGGGTTTGTGGCTCGTGAACTTTAAGGGCTATAGCAGTATAGGGTGTATGACCCCAACTTTCGGCGTTCATTTGGTCCGCAAGGTTTGGGGTAGAGGGCATGGAGTTCCTGGTTCAGGGTTTGGTATCTAGGGTCTGGGGTGTTCTGGTTTTGGGGGTAAACCCTAAACCCTAAACCCTAAACCCTAAACCCTAAACCCTAAACCCTAAACCCTAAACCCTAAACCCTAAACCCTAAACCCTCCCTTGGGGTTCAAAGTTCGAGGATCGCCGCTCCCTCTCTTTCTGCTGGGTTTTCCGAGCCACCACGGTCAGCCTGATCCTCACCTCTGCGGTTCAGGGATAGAGGGGAGCAAGAACGTTGAGGGTTCAGGGTCCCTAAACCCCCAAACCCCTAAACCCTCATTTTGTACTGGAAATGAGGCGGAAGTTTCAGGATGCACGCATAGTACCGTCATTTCCCTGCAGTGCGCTGTTGCCATCAGCTAGGCGGGTGGCAAAAACTAGACCTGAACCCTCAACCCTATACAAACCCTAGACTCACCCTTGGAGGACATGGACCAGTCTCAGACTCTCCGTTCTATGGGGACGCAGACGCTTGGGCCTCTACAGAAGTCTTGCATGGGAAGGGTCGAGCTCACAAGAAGGGCAAAGAACCAGGGCTTGTACGGCTTAAGAGACCTAGTTCCAAATCCCTATACATCTTGTTTAAAGCACTCTTTGTGATCGTGAGTCACCCTGCGAAATCAGTCTGCGAGCTCTACTTTAGCAACGGCTGTCAGGATTGGCCTTCTGCTATAGCATCCTTTGTCAAAGGGGCCCGGGCCCGTGGAACCCCACAGCCCCATGCCCTAAACAACCTGTGACCGCCACGGCTGTAGGAGTAAGATGAGCCGCATGAACACCACGGATTCAAACCGGGAGTCCAGCGCCAACAATCTGGCAAGAAAGTTGCTTGGCTTTGGCAGACATGTGAGGCTTTATGATATGAGGTGGTACCTTCTTGGGGTCCAGTTGCAAAAAGGGAATCCGATTATTTACGACTATTTGCTGAAGAACCCCAAAAGAATTTAATAAGGAAGAGTCTTTTTAATTTTTTCGCGGTGCCCTGCAGAGTTGTGGGTTAAGACATCGGGGGTTAGGGTTTAGGGTTTAGGGTTAGGGCTGGAGACTCAGCACCCTCAGAAACCACAGGTGGCAAAGGCCGAGCTTGTGTCACTTCTCGTGGGCACGTCTCAAACACGCAGAACCTTGGGGACGAACTGAGCCCTGAAATGGGGTCATTTACCCCCACACTACTCTCGTCCCTATTAAAGTATATCAAGCATAAACCCTTTTTAGGGTCCAATTGCGTATGCGAACTGCCTTGTACGCGGTGCTCGGCGCAGGGTTTAGAGGCGAGCCTGTATGCAAGGAACAAGGAACCCCGCGAAGCTCTAAACCCTAAGCCCTAAGCCCGAAGCCCGAAGCCCTAAACCCTAAACCCTAAGCCCTAAGCCCTAAGCCCTAAACCCTAAACCCTAAACCCTAAACCCTTGTCCTGAATCCTAAGCTTCGCGCCTCGAAGAATCCCGAGGTTCCGGGCGCGATGCTTGGAGACACGTCGTCAGCCACCAGAAGTTCAAGCAAACCAGGTGGGAGGGTTTAGGGTTTAGGGTTTAGGGTTTAGGGTTTAGGGTTACTTATTGAAACAGGGTTTATATTACTGTCATTGAGTGTATATAAGGTTCCTTGTTAATATTGGTGAGTTTATATATTTGGTGTCCTTCTGGGGATACAAGGAACGTAAACCGTACTTCATATACATAATATATATATATATACATATACACATATGTTCTATGAATATATATATATATATATAAATAAATATATATATATATATATATATATATATATATTTCTGTATATATACATATGTTATTCCGTATTCGATGCCATGAAATCCTTTATGTTGTTCGTATGTAACCTTTTCTTCTTGTATATGCAGAGTCAAGTTGAGACCTGAGGATTCAACAAAGGTTTTGCAAAGCCTGCGGAATGTTCGAGGGTGCCCCTACGACCCCCGTTTAGGGTTTAGGGTTTAGAGGGTTTAGGGTTTAGGGTTTACCCCTCTATACTACCACCCCTAGGTTCCCCCCCAAATTAAGGCTAGTCAGGGATAGTTAAGCCTGATTAAGGTTATTCAAGGGTTTGGGGTATCGGGTTTCGGGGTTGCACCCTAAACCCGAAACCCGAAACCCATGCACCCATAAGGTTCCACAGTGGCTCCAGATATTGCTCGGGTGCCATTTGTTTAAGCCTGAAGGTCCGTACTTGAAGTACCTGCTCTTTTGGCTCCAGCTCAAACTCTGATGCAGTATAGTACTCTGATTTGGACAATGGGGGGTGGGAACATCGTAAGCAACATCCCAACCCTCCGCGGATCTCGCAGATCCCCTTCACCCAAGCCGAGGGGCGTCCTTTGAAAGGTCTCTGCTACATGCCCCTAAGCCCTAAAACCCTGAACCCTCTTCCCCTAAACCCTAAACTCTGTGCACTTTGCAAGGGACCACGAGCCGCAAGTTTGGCAGGTGCTTAATGCCCTGGCGCACAAGGACACACCGCCTGAGAAGCCTCGGGGTTGCAAAAGGGTTTAGGGGAGAGGGTATAGGGATAAAGTTTTTTGCATAAACCTTCAGTTGTGGATCCTGCATCGCCGGCTTTGTTCCTGAAAGCAAGCGCCCTCATGGGACCTCACAAGATAGACAATTGCTGTCTCATGTGCATCATGCAGGGTGTATATTCCTGTCATTGGTGAGTGTACATAAGTTTTCTTCTTAATATCGGTGAGTGTATATATCGGGTGTCCTTTTGGGGATACAAGGGATATAAGCCCTACTTCATGTCTAGTGTGCTGGTGGCTTCCCCTTCCCGCTGAG